TAATTTTCAAGGCCCCCAATTATAGCGAAGTGTATATTTTTTCAGAATGTAAAGCCAAATTCGCTAAAATAATATTTAAATTAAATTTAATAATTTAAATTAAAATAAATAAAATTATAATTTATTTATTCAAATTTTATCAAAATTACCAATTCAATTACAACTACCGAACTGAATTTATAATGGACGAAAAGTTTAATTAAGCCGGAGATAAAATAATCCTAAGAAACATTGTGGTCACACTCAAACATGCGGAATCCAAAATAATGAACTTTCAAGGTGACAGCGAACATTGCAGGGGCTGATTTGTAGGAGAATTATTAGGATAACTTTAAATGAGAGTCGTTATTTCAAACTGAAGTTTAAAAGCTAAATGGCCTTATGAAGTAATTAAAGTAAGGGTTATTATAATTTGCATATCATAAATTTCTGTTCCCCAATTTCAATTTAAATAAAATAAAAGAAAATTACAGTAAGTTACTGTTAGTAAGTATGATATTATTTTTATTAATTTATGTAGGTACAAAAACCAAAAGCCTTTTGTTATTTTAAATGTGTTTCTTACGAGGCACCAACAGGCAGCCTGTTTCGGTGCCGGGTAGCTATGTGATGCAAAGCACACTCAAACAAAATGCCCCCGCCGCTCTAATAGTAGCAAAGCAACGGAACAGCGGTGTCAAGACTGTAAAGGAGGGTTCTCAGCGACATCTACCGTCCAGCGGACGTGGCCATCTATTAAATAGTAAGTTTATTAAATTATATCTTGTTGAAATGGCATTCTATAGAATATATATACCTTACAAGGGTTTCTTGAAAATTAGTTCTAAAAAGTCAAGTACATTTGAGAATGTTTTGTTGTTTAGGTTTGGGCTTCTATTCTCTATTATGTTATTTTTTATATTTTCCTAAATACTGTAGTGATATTATATGTACCTATGCTATGTAAATATTACTAATTATTTTATATTTTTTATTTTCTACTTTGACGAATATTCACATAACTTTATGTTCAAGTTAACAACTAACTGCACTGTTCAAAATTTCATGACCATTTTAACACCAAATTAACACCATACATACAAACCAAAATGGTGTTAAATATGGTTCGTTGGTCCAGTGTAAATTCAAATACTAAAATAGTGTAAATTTAACTTTCACACGATATTAAAATAAATTTTACCTGGTGTAAATTGAACTCCTTTTCAGTGTTAAATATTATGTGTTTTTGGTCAAATTAAATCATACTAGAAAATACATACACAGAAAAAAAGGAAAAAATAAGGAAACAGGAAGTTCCTTGACGCATTACTAGTTTATTAACAGTGGTATTATTCCAGAAACTTGAACCTTCAACTCGCTAGAGATAATATTTTTAGTGCGTTGCACCAACTTAAAATACTTCAAGTATTGACAGCTGTTTCCACCTATTTAAGGTCTCTTTACTAAAGAGTCTTTAGTATTGAATAACTTGTATTCCTTTGCCTTTGCCGCGATCGGTACACACTATGCAACCCGGAATGAACGGCAAATTGTTTTAATCGTTTTAACAGAGTGCTTTAGATATGGACTGACCCATACTTTACAAATTATCTCTAAAACAAATCATTTTATCAAAATTTTATAAGAGACAAATTTTTTTTTACAATAAATGATTACCTGAAAAAATACCGTTTGGAAGTCATTGGCGCACGTACTAAAAATAGGGGGAGTCAGTCAGTACTGGACCCCCCCTATTTTGATTATTTGACAATTGTTTTTTGTTTTGTTGGTCTCAAAAAATTTAACTATTTATGTTGAAGTAGTGTACCGAATTTGAACTTAATATCTTATTAATTACTCGAATTATTAAAAAAAATCAGTTTTAAATTTCAAACTTTGTCGCCCTGTATATCGAACATGAAGCTCTAAATTGAAAAATGGTATTATGAAAGTCCTATTGTTTTAACTCAAAGAATATATGGTTAACGGATTGACTTCCTTTTCCCGGACACCCTGTATATTGTATATACAGTGTGTCCACTTAACTGGATAATGTTTATCGAAAACGAACCAAGCGCCAAACATTTTTTCTGGGCTTGGTAAAAGTAACTCATATTTAATAATGCTCATTTGAAACCTATTTCAGAGGATTGAGAAGGTTCCCTATTCATTATTAATTTTTTGAGCAGCATTAACAATGAGTTATTTTGCAAATAATTTTTTTTAACCCAAAAAAAGTTTTTGGCGCTTGGTTCCTTTTCGATAAAGGATATACTAGTAAAAATATTTTCTTTAAATTTTTCGAGGAAAAGTTATTCTTTATAATTTCTTTTGCTTGTTATCTAAATAAGATTCGGGTTCCATTTTATTGTACAGGGTGCGCAAAAAATATTTATTTGTATTCTCCAATTATAATATAATTATCAGACCCATAAGCAATGTACTGTTCATATACATCAAAGTATTTGACATTTTTTAATAGAACATAATTAAGACATCTTTCAACAATCCTATTTTCTTTTGTATCCAGTAAATTAATGTAGGTGGAACACTTAAATAATATGTTTCTATCAAGTTTATCACCCTTAAAAAATTTACAACACTGACAATAGTGTCCCCATTTTTTATCGCTAAAGTTTATAGGTGTGATGGTTTTTATTAGTTTAAAGGTTCGATAATCCCACAACTGCAAGCATTTGGATTCTTTGTAGGAACCTGTAAGAATGGTTCGATACTACAAATAAATAGTTTAAATTTGTTTTTGTGTTTTATTGTTTTGTTACCCTTGGAGATACATCCAAACAATCGCCAACAATGTAGGGCCCTCTAAGTTGTTGGACGGGGTATTTAACTCGTTTATCCCACATCTAAAAAAAGTATTTATAAAATTTGTATCCAATAATATAAATTTAAGAAATACAAACGTTGTATATGAATAGGTACTTAGAGTATTACCTTTACATGTGAATCTAACGAAGAAGTCAAAAACGTTTCGTTTGGAGGTAGAAGCGTGATATTCGTAATTTGCATTTTATGGTACTTTGTTTGATTTAAATGCAAAGGATTTGCTTTGTATGCATTTATAACCTGTAAACTTTTAAAAAGGTGTTTATTTATATTTTTAGATAAAATAGAATCGATGTATTTTACCGCTCCAGTTGGAATGTCAATTACATTGAGAGCTCCTGAAAGCTCGCCGCAAATAAGGTTTCTCATATGATTTACACCCAAACAGCAAACTCTATTACCTACAATAAATTTATATAATTAATATTAGGGCGCATGGGGTTACTTTAAAATTTTAAATAGAAAACCCTATTTTTTATTGAAGATCAATTTTTTTTTGTAATACGCCTAAAGCCTGAATTATGTATTGCCTTCCTTCCGGAATTTTACACAGAAATCTATAAATTGACTTTTTACGCACAAATCGTACATTCCTCCCGTAGTCGTGCCCGTATGATTTGTGCGTAAAAAATCAATTTATAGATTTCTGTGTAAAATTCCGTAACCATCCGCGATGACACCTAAAATGGTTGACATTTGTTTTTGTTTATATTCTGCGTTTTACCCATTGTGTGTAAATATGAAAGATAAACATTTATATATTAGTGCAGTGATCACAATTTTAGTTGCCCAGGCAGCCTGTTGTATAACAATTAAAATTGTTATCACAATATATTATAATAATGAAAAAAAAACATTGAACAAGACATTGGAAGACTCGCCCACTTTACCAAGACCGGGAAACTACGGGGTTTTACAAAGCAACGTTTCTAAAAGAAATTGATCATTAACAATATCTAAATATCCTATTTAGAAACACAAATTATTAAATAATGCTAAACAATCATGTAGGTATTTTAAATATTTTTTGCCTACGCACTGTCACCCTACGGTGAAAGATAAAACTTAAAAATTTCTACGGGAGGAATGGCACTACGATTTAAATAAACATTTTTGACGTAATTGTCACCATTAATATTGCCCGTTATTAATTTTAATTAAACTTTTATTAAACAATTATTGATACTTTAAAATATTAAAATAGCTTCAAAATATGATTTTGTTAAGAAAATATTTGAAACACGTTTGGAATTGCGTATCATAAAACCGTCAAACTCGCCTTGGGCTCGTGTGACAAACTCTTCACTCGAGCGGAATATGCTGTATTCCAAACTTGTTACAGAATATACTATTATCCTTTAATTTTTTTTTTACTATACCTAATTGCAAAATATTGTTACAAAGCATTAAAAATTCTTCACGAGAAATGTTGACAATTACGTCAAAAATGTTTATTGGGTTTCGTATTGTTCATCTTCTACGGGAGGAAGGAAGGAAGGAAGGCAATCTATAATTCAGGCTTAATTACTGAGATATTTCAAAGTTTTAAGTAAAAAGACTCACCCTGTATATATCTATTATATCCATATCGTCGCCTTCATGAGAAAATTGCTTAACTCCATGTAGTAAAATTTTACAGGAGGAAAGAAAAACATATTAAAGGTGTATTGGTGTATCTCCACATTACCGCCAAAAAATTGTTTAATGGAAAATTACGTATCTCCAATATGTACTTTATGTTAATAAAAGTAACCTTAAATTATTCATGGTACCTTAACTTTACACACTATACAATCTTTTATACTTACTTTTAACAAATTTCACTTCGGAAAACATAGGTTTTACGCGTTAACAGAAAAAATAACTAGGCAATAACTTATACTTGTCAATGGCACTGATTTGTATACTGGAGTTAGGCATTATTCCCTGGACGCTCCTCCACGATTGGAGATACGTATATTTCTTTTTCTAAATTTAAAATTAACGGTTTATTTTAGGACTTCTGTAACTTGCATATAAATTAGTTACAGTTTTATCTAACAGATGCCACTAAAATACCATTTTAATGAAAATGTGGAGTTACGTGATTTTCTCCTGAAGGCGACGATATTTAGAATTTTATTCGAGTTTTTTAAAAGCTAACTGTATAACGCAAATTACCTTCTCCAAACCTAAAACTTCCTTGTCCAATCCTTGAATGAACATAGACTTCTCCCATCCCATCGCAACTAAAAAGATATGGTGCTCTGGTAGCATATCTTAAGCATTTTAGGTCACTGTGTCTACCAAGAACTGTATAAAGCAAATGACCGGTAAGCGATATTTCCTGAAGGTTACCAGACTCGTAACCAACTGCCAAAGATTCTCCATCAGGAGAAAACCTAATCGATGTAACTTGTTTGAATAACGACGGAAATTTGAACATTCTGAAAACGTGGTGTTGTTTCTTTGTATCATCTTCCGTAAAATAAACTCTCTTGATGAAGTATTTTAAATCCTCCAAGGTGTTTACGCTTTCCAAATTTAGATCCATTTTGCCAAAATTCAATGTTTGACGGTGTTTTCATAATTTGACATTGACAATTGTTATGGCAACTATCAGACGTTGTTTTCCGAATTATTTTATCAAAAATCCTCAAGAACTTTTGATACGTTAACAGTAATTTTACAAACACATTAAATTTATAGTTGTCTAGGCATATCATGCGAAAAACCTTTATCAAAGCTGAGAAGGTATAATGACGTTGATGAACTAATATTTTGGTTTGTTATTTTACACACTTTGTCAATTTTTAGGATTCCGCAAGTGACAGCTACTCGTTGGGCAATCTCGATCTACTAAATTTACGGTATTTAAAAATATATTAATCTTTTAACACTTTTAGAGAGTTCTTAATAAGAAAAATGGATAAAAAAACAGGATAAGAAATATAATTTAAAATTAATTTAAATTATCCAAAAATGATTATTAACAAGAGCGATTTTAAAACATTAATTTTTACATGCATAGAAATAATATAATTATTTAATCCCCATTAACTTTTTTTGTCTGTGTCCAGTGATTTGAGAATATACCGCATCTTTTCTTCGTCCTTGGTTGTATTTTTGAATAAGACTGATTCCCCGTTCGACAGAGTACAGTGAGGTGGTACTTTCAGGAAATCTTTACTTCTGCAATTTTCTTTACTATACAGTGTGTCTCACTTTTCATGACTCCCATATTGTAGCTCCGTTATTAGTAATACGATTTTTACAAAACTTTGGTCAATTGGACTTACCCTTCAGGTGATCATGACGAAAGAAGAAAATTTAATTTTCACCAGTGGCGTTCGTTGTTATAATAAAAAAACAACAAATATTTTTAGAAAAATATATTAGGCAATTTTTAAATGGTCTGATAATAGCATATTGTTATTTAGCATCATCGAAAACCCCCCTATACCAAATATGAAAATAATAGCATACAGGGTGTTGACGTAACTAATAATTAAATCTAACTATCACTATAAATTAATTATAACATCGATTTAAACCGAAATGTCAGATTTCTTTATTAGTTCAATTGTTTTTTACTATGGAAACGGTCATGGCACACTGATATTTTTTATTCACAATAATGTACCACACATTCACGATGCCCAAATAATGCAAGCATTTAAAATGGATCTTCATGCCAGTGTTCTGAAAGTAGCTCGAAATAATAAACCTTGATAAATGTAAGGTTTGGAGCTGTCTAAAACGATAAAATGGTGCGGCATTTCAAACGAAAAAAAAATGATAGGATAAAATTCACCGATGTTATAATTAATTTATAGTGCTATAATAAGTTAGATTTAATTATTAATTACGTCTGCTATCAATTTCATATTTGGTATAGGGGGGTTTTCGATGATGGTAAATAACAATATGCTATTATCAGACCATTTAAAAATTGCCTAATATATTTTTCTAAAAAAAATTGTTGTTTTTTTGTTATAACAACGAACGCCACTGGTGAAAATTAAATTTTCTTCTTGCGTCATGATCACCTGATGGGTAAGTCCAATTGACCAAAATTTTGTAAAAATCGTATTACTAATAACGGAGCTACAATATGGGAGTCATGAAAAGTGAGACACACTGTATTTGGCTTGGCTCAAATAAATAATTTATTTCGATATCTACAAGAAGATATTTATTTAGTGGAAAACTTGGGTTTATTTGACTTTTTAAACTGATATTTGGTTAATACAAGTAAAATTTACTTGTTGTTTAAAATAAGAAAATACTATTATTTGGTTGTAAATCATAAGTTTCTTAAAAACAACTTATTGTTGTGATTAATTGTAAAGAAATATTTATTTAGAGCAATTAATTAAATTGTTTGGATGTAGGTTTTGTTTCTTTAAGTAAGCTTCTATTAATATATTAAACCTGAGATAAAAAGTCAACTAGATATTAATTAATCACAACAATAAGTTGTTTTCAAGAAACTTATGATTTACAACCAAATAATAGTATTTTCAAGTTACTACGACTAAGAAAATTTTACTTCGTACAAGAAAACCTGTTTCAAATAAATGCATTTTCTTAAATCAAGGGATTACTTTTCTCTGCAGAGAACTAAGGAAAATAATCTTACACATGTGTAAGATTATTTTCCTTAGTTTAATAAATGCGACGTGGACCATAAGGCAATTTTGGAGCTTCAGATTTTTAACCATAATTTCTTTAGTTTTTGTAGACACCTTCATCAAAAATTCCAAATAAATAGTGCTCTGAGAGAAACCAATGATGCCTCTTAAAAGCAGTGTACGTTTTTCATCGATCTTGCTTTTAAACTTTTCAGAATACATAAAAGCTCTAACTCCAAGTGGAGCTTTATTCCAATATCTCACCTAAACCAAGCTTAAACTTATATTTCAGAGTTTTCAGAAGAAGACGTATATAGTTGTGAAATTATCGTCCTCTTCTATCTTAAATGGTGAATCTAATTTACGAGGATGTATTTTATAAATATATTCATTGTTTTATATTTGCTTGTTTATGCATTATACATATTATTATGATATGAAAAATTGATCCAGGCTTTTTTTGATCACCTTCCATATAAGGTATTTGCTATAATATTATGCGGTATTTTCACATTTAAAATAAAATCTATATCGCCCTTATTACAACGTCTTAAAATTTATTTTTATCTGTTTTATTAGACTTAGCGTTTCTGAAAAAGTTATTGATCCGAAATACAAAGAATTGAGAGAAGCATCAGGTGATACTGGCAGAAGTTCCGAAAGAGTAATAGAAATAAATTTGAAATTTAATATGAATGAAATAAAATCATTTTTATTTTTAGCGACAACACCCCCTAAGAAACCCTGATAACAGGTTACCGAACCTTCATAATCTGCCACAAGGTACCAACAAACTATTTTTAATTATTTTATTGAAATAACTTATGTTACCTAAAAATTTTCGTTAGTAGTGATAGATGAAAATACACTCACAGGCAAAATAATCGATCCACACAAATTTTCGATGAATTTCAATCAACTTTTTTATTTGTTTTCGAAATTAAACAAATATTAAAGAATATTGTAGATACATTAATGGAGAATCGCTCACATTTTAAAAATTATTAAAAAATATACGTACGTTTATAATATACAATATTTTTCCTGTATGAAGAACTAAGGTTGCTATGGTCCATCCATAGCCTATGGAGGATGACAGTGACAGTTTTTTTTAATCATCCCATACTTGGGCATGTCATATACAGCTTTCAAAAGCTATCAAATTGTTATTTGTAAATTAATGTGTTAATTTTGAGGTGTCTTCATACTTTTAAAAATGTGTCCGACTAATGTTGCCCTTTGTACTTTACTTCTTGTGACGTTTAAAACACTTGCCACGTAATACTGTGACCGTCCATCCTGGATTAAATTAAGGCTCTGGCAATATCAGTCGGAGAAATATCCATTTTTTAAAGTAAGAAGACACCTCAAAATTTAAACATTAGTTTGCAAAAAACAATTTGATAGCTTTTGAAAGCCGTGTATGATATGTTAAAGTATGGGATGATTTAACAAAACTGTCACTGTCATTCTCCATAGCCTATGGATGGACCATAGCAACCTTAGTTCTTCATACAGAAAAATATTGGAATTTGCAATGTTTTTTTAAAAAATCCATATTTTCCACAAAATAAATATATCGAGGTGAACCAAAAACAAACAATATACGGTTTTGCCACTCTACAGAGTGTCTTAAACTTATGGTAAAAAACATCTTTTTGTTTAAACTTATACACGTCGTCTATTTTTTAGTAATTTTTTAAATTGTGAGCGATTTTCCATTAATCTATATACAATATTCTTTAATATTCGTTTAAATCCGACATCAAATAAAAAAGTTATTTGCGATTGAAATTCATCGAAAATTTGTGTGGATCGATTATTTTGCCTGTGAGTGTATAGGTATTTAATTTTGTAATGAATTTCAAATTCATACTTTTTAGTTTTTTTAAATTTTAATGAATTTTGTATAATTCTAAAAAATACTAATCAATACAATATTTTAAAAATTTAAACTTATTTCAATTCAAAAAGAATATTTCTGTTTTCGATACTTCTAAATCAGTGATTTTTTAAGGTTATGGTAAAAGAATCGAGTACAAGAGTCCCCCATCGGACTGCGTAGATTGTTTGCAAAATAAAGAAAAATTCGACAATACCTTTGAACCAATAGACAAGGACGATTTTCTTTACCCAAGCAAAAAGAAAAAATCACCAAAAATAAAAACAGTATCTGAGGTCGGAACCAAATCATAGTGAGTGCGAATAGACTGAAATTGTTTAGGTATTTTCTAAATTGACTGCAGAATTTTATCGACAGTTCACCGGAAGTAACAGAAGAACGCTCTTTTCCTTTCAAATTAACACCCAGTGGAAATTTTAAAGTTAATTCTGAACAGGTAAACGAACATGTTTATACGTTATATCTCGCTGCCACCCATAATATTTGCATTTTTATCACAGTGTCGGATTTCATTTAATACTTGTCTGCATTACACTTTATTTTTAACTCCAAGTCAGAATTTTATTTATAACATTCAAGAAAATGGCACTTTACTTTTAAGACATGATCCACATAGTTTGCTTCAATGTATTTAAGGTAGCGTAAATCTTAAAACTTGTTTTAGATCATTTTTGCTTCGGATAAGTTTAGTGTTCTAGTCGCAGATCCTGAAAATACCCAAGTGAATATTCATCCTGACACTGAAAAATTAAAAATAATGGCTCCTGAGCCTCAACCAATGGAAGTACCTAAAGTATCTGCAATGGACGCGATAATGAGTCAAGTAAGTAAAAAAATCAACTGTGTTATAGTTATAGTTATAGTTAAAATCCACTGATGACCATTGTTTTCAAAAATGCGCCGGGATTAATATAAAATGTAATATAATTTAAAGGGGTAAGAAGCAAAAGGGTACAAGTGCAAAAAAGAGAAGTGGAGTTATTAACTTTTAAAGTGTTTGCTATACACTGTTCAAAATTTCGTGACCATTTTAAAACCAAATTAACACCATTCATGGTCTATATCGATACAAACCAAAATGGTGTTAAATATGGTTCGTTGGTCCAGTGTAAATTCAAATACTAAAATAGTGTAAATTTAACTTTCACACAGTATTAAAATAAATTTTACCTGGTGTAAATTGAACTACTTTTCAGTGTTAAATATTATGTGTTTTTGGTGAAATTAAATCATACTACACAGAAAAAAGGAAAATAAAGGAAACAGGAAATTCCTTGACGCATTACTAGTATATTACCAGTGGTATTATTCCAGAAAATTGCGCTTATTTATGAGCTTATTTAAGAACATTACGTGATTCACACCGCCTTTGCCGCGATCGATACACACTATGCAACCCGGAATGCACGGCAAATTGTTTTAATTGTTTTAACAGAGTGCTTTAGGTTGAAGTAACTCTTATTTTACAAACAACATATTTAGTAAAATGAACCATACAGCGGGTTGGTTTCACTAAAGTTTTCTGGGTTAATTTAAACAATTTAAAAAAAATAACTATCTGGTTTAGTACCGTCAAACTAATCATTGTTTATATTAACCTTCCCACAGTTGATTTAAATAAATACTTATGATTCAACTAAATTAATATAGTTAAATGAACTATTCCTTTTTTTCTGTGTAGGTGCACTTCTCAAATATTTTTAGATAAACACCGTTTTGGTGTTTGCTGTATATAACATTTTCAACCATAATTCATGGTGTCTATATTAACACCACTTGGTCTTGGATTTTGACACCATTTTAAGATTACTCTTTACACCACAGATATTTTAAACAGTGTATAAAAAAATGTAGATACTTGTTTAAATATTGTTGTTTGCATTAATCAAAATGCTAAACTCGTACAATTTTCACGTTATGAGAAATTTTTAAAAGAATTTGGACTCTAAACTACCCTTAGAAGAAACTACCCAATTATGCAGTTATTATCATGTTTAAATGAACTTGGACCCTTTTGCTTCTTACCCCTTCATATATATTTTATTAATCCTATTGTGAATGTAATCTAGTAAAATTTAACATCCACATTTATACAGTATCCTCGGATTGACTTTAAAATATTAAGTATACTACTTTTATGTCAAATTGATAGGTGTCTATTTAAGGAGTGCCAAGAGGGCGATATCAAATTAAAAATTTCAAATTGAAACGGGGGCTTGTGATACCTCATTTGAAAGGTATTTCGGTTCTCTATTCGATGCAATATAAATTTTTAAAATCCGTTTAAAGGTTGCTAACTAATTGAGCATTTGAGTGTTTTAAACTGATAAATTTTCTTGCAGCTACCTACGTTGCCTGTTCGGTAAATCGCAAATCTGTATTATTTATTTTTTTTGTTTTGTAAATAAAACGTGCCAGTGTAGTTTTAAGGCGGTTTATAAAATAATTATGCTCTTTGGTGTAACTCTATTTATTAGTTGTGCCTGCAATTTTACTTTTTATTTTGTTCGAAAATGGTTTGCGCTTATTTATGCTGAAGTTGGACGTAATTTGCACTAAGCAGAGAGAATTTAATGAAGGTTTTGGAAGAAAATTTTAGGCATCTTGTACTTGCTTCAAACACAAATTTATCCAATGATTAAAGATATAGTTCAAGCTTATTCTGAAGAAATTGACATGGAAGTAATATTCTAGCAAGATCGAGCACCCGCATAATATTTTAGGGTTGTTAGACAGTGTTCCTACACTGTTATAAAAATCAGATTTGTTAACACGAGTTTGTAGTTTGTTAATTTGTAAAATTTTAACATAATTTTTTGTAGAAAACCATGGTTTATAATTATTTTAACAAAGAAAACTATTTTACCGAAAGTTTTGTAAAGGTAATATGCCATTTTGTAAGCATTTTGTTAATTTCAAAGGTTACAGATTAATTTGTTAATGTTTAACAAATTATTTCGTTGAAAAAGTACACGTTATTTTAGGCAGTCAATCAAAACATTTCCCACTGACAATACGCATCAACGTTGAACTGACTTCAGCGTATGCAACTTATGTGTCTGCTTACTTTATTCTAATTCATAATGTGTTCGTTACAACTGTCCAAAGTGTGATATATTACCAGAAATCGATTGTTATTCGGATTACTTATACCTATTTAACGAAGTATACTTATAGGCTATAAGTTATAGCGAAGTATACTTATAGCGAAAAAAGATGCCATTACTGGTTTCAAACTGAAATTAGGGGATACAGTAAAGTGGGTTAAAGTAACGAAAGTAAGACTTGTAGTAGTACTGATAATTATATTGTACCAAATTTCTCTATAATTTGATGATTTCAGAATGGTGTGTTATTTAATTGTGGGTGTTTTTCTTGTATTCATCTATGTAGGGATGTGTTTATTTAAGAAATTGATTAATAAAGCAATATTTTATATCAAAATTTTATTTAAGTTCTCAATTTCCAACAAATACTTTTGTTACTGAGTCTACAAAAAGGGTTGTAAAAATAAGGTCCTTCTACCTGGATTAACATAAAATCTGGTTAATATTTGGTTAAAATTAACAAATATTTTTTTACTGTGTACCGAATGGCCGGCTCGGTCTCCTGATTTAACGCCATTTGATTTTTTGAGGGGATATTTTAAATCTTAAATCTACATCACCGAACCGAAATCAATTGATGATCTAAAACAACGGATTAGACGTGAATGTGCGAATAATACACAAGAAACGTTTGTAAATTAAAAACAGACTATTTTTTATGACAAAATGTCCAAGGGGAGCATTTTAAACATAAATGAAAACAAAAATTTGATTTAATCATTAATTTTATTTGAACATTTAATATCCTATCAACCATTGAACAGATTTTGGATTTTACAGTGTTTATATAATTTTCTCTCTAAAAATGAAATAGTCAAAATTCTACTATTTGAATTAGTAAAAGCATTTTTTACTAATAAAATAGTCGTTTTCACTTTTAAATAGTTATTTTTTACTATGTAAATAGTTAAAGTTTGACTAATTTAAGATTAGTCACCATATTTGACTATTTCTGACAGTTAAAAGTAACTAATTTCTTTAGTCGTTTACGGCCAACAACAAAGTATTATTTGAATTAAATGCATATACCTCTCCATGGTTAAATGACCCATAAAACAAATAAAGATGCAAAAAGTTTAGCTCAAAATAGCAAGACAAATAATATATTAAACTTTAAAATATTATGAACCATATTTATTTACAAATAAAATTAATTTTTATAAGAGCGGCTGACAGCCGAATGTGTTAAGACGTTAGCTTGACAAACTTGTCAAATGACAGACCTGAGTTCAATCCCAGGCTGGGTCAAAACTTTTTTTAAATTTAAATTTACTAATTTGACTATTTCATTCAGTGGAATTTTACTAATTATTAGTGACTGCTTTTTCACTATGACAATTAGTCAAATATGACTTATAATTAGTTATTTTTGACTAATTCATTTAATTAAATAATATATTTTTATTAGTATAAGCATATGGATGTGGATTTATAAAATGTAATAAAATGAATCATCGGCATGAACCATTTTAAAGGTCCCTCATATAAATGTAAAATTCGACCCAACAAAGCTTTTCTAGTTCGAACGATTGCATTGTCTTTGCCTGGGAACATACATAAAACATTTTTAGGTCGCGGCGCAGCAATCTCCATTATAATATTGTTTAACTTGGAAACATATCAAACAAGACCACTCACTTCTGGAATTTATAAAAAACAACACTTACATTTTCAATGGATAAAATATAAAGCGACTTATATTGTCATAAATCATTATAATGGGATTTTTCTCTTTTCAGCATTTTAATGCAGGTCTTTCAAGCATCGGCTCGCTTATTGGCAACACACCTGTTAGAAGCTCCCATAAAGAGGCTTCCGAGTATGAAAGCAAACAGACTTCGGAAATTTTGGATCCTGAGTTAAATTTGGGAAGATTGGGATACAATGGAACAGATGCCATTGGGTGGGAGAAAGTCAAATTGCCGGAGAAAAAGAATCTTTATTTGGAGTTGTATTCGAGAATCACAAACTACACGTAAGAAGTAATTTCATATTTTGCATGATTTATTTTGATATGAAACTATGTGTTTCGTTTATTATTAAAATTTACATTATTCATTTTGTAGAAATGCAGATTGCAAAGTATACATCGAGAACGAAGAGTTCAACTGTCATCTGATAGTTTTACAATGTTATTCAGAGTTATTCGATGCTTACATTGCCGTGAAAAAAGTTGAATTGCCAAGCGTAAATATTTAAGCTATATAAATTTTGTAGTATGGTAAAAATAGCACTTCTCAAACAGTTTTGTTAACAGCGTAACCATATACGAGGGCAGCCTGAAAAGTAAGTTTATTGACTTCTATATGGGTCACATATATAAAAATCATCAAAAGTATAACCTTTTTCAAGATGGCTGTCAAATTTGAGCCAAAATCATAGTTTTCTTCCTTTCTTATGGTGCTTTAAAGTAAACAAAATCTTAATTTTTTAAAAAATGGAAAAAGAAGAATTTTGTGCCGTTATTAAAGATTTTTATTTGAAGTCAAAGAGGAGTTGGATGGAGTTTATGGTACACCATCATTAAAGACCGTTTGTTTTTGGCTAAATGTACCAGTACAAAAGATGAACCACGACCTGGTTTCCAAAAGACTAACTAACTAAAAATATCATCAATAAATTGCTTGATATTGTTCTGAGTAAACATCTTTTAACATCATTGAAACAATTTATTGAAGAAAAAACTGTCACCACGAAAATTCTCCATCTTATTTATCGAATTTGGTTGCGACAAAAATACATGATTTATGCTTCGATATCCTTCCTCACCCACCATATTCTCCAGACTTGGCCTCTTTAGACTTCTTTCTTGTCCCAAACATGAAAAAATGGCTCGGTGAAAAGAGATTGGATCAAATCAGGAGGCAATCTACAAAACAAATGCTTTTTTGACTAGTTTGACCAATCGTATTTTGCTGAAGACCTTAAGATACTTTTTTTATTAGCTTGGCTGCAATGAGAATTAACGCGTTTTTTTCACAAAGTTGGTATCTTATTTAATTTGTTTAGAGCCATATAAAACTGTTGAATATTTTCCGATTTCGACTCCAAAATGGAACATAAATTTAAAAGCCTTAGTAATTCGAAAGAAAAAATACAAGATTTCCATATAATTCTGTGAAAAAATTGGCAAATCTTATCAAAGAAAAGATTAACTTGACAGATGACCTAACCTCAAATTTAAAGCCCCTTTTGGATCTCACACCGCAAAAAATTAAAGAATGCGCTGGTCTGCACAACACGCATCACGCAGCAAAAGTAACTAGGTAACCAAAATCTAGGGGGGCTACCGTACGTGAATGGATTGAATACCTTTATATTAAAAATATGAAAAAAAAACTTTTTAGGTTGCCCTCGTATTTGAATTTCATTGTATCCAAAACCACACTCTTAAAATAATAACTGTATTGAATGCATGCTATTTTTTCTGTGCTAAAGGGGGTCACAACAAGATATAAAATATAAATTTTAAAAAAATACAAAATCATATTTTGTATAAAATCTGAAAACGTGATAAAAGTTTTCATGAAAATACACTGAAAGAAATATATGTTTGTTTTAGCAATGTATGTGGTAGTCCATATATGAAACATAAAATATATTTACCTTAACCATTTTTATATTTAGTTTTAACATAATATGGTTAAGGCAAATATATTTTATGTTTCATATATATGGACTACCACATTTCTTTCAGTGTATTTATATTTTAATATTTATAATACCACCATATTTTTATTTCATTCTTGTTAGGACACTATTTAATGTTAGAGATATACAACCACAGGCGCAGCAGGGGGGCAAGAGGGGGCAGTTTCCCCCTCCTATAAAATTAAAATACTATATACTAAATATTTAAACATAGATACTTGAAATGGCTCCCCTGGATTATTTTCTGCGGGCGCCTATGTGAACAACTTAAAATTTCAGGATAAATGTAGCGCTGCATCATTTGCTTTCATTTACGAATGGATGATAACTGGAGAGCCTTCTTATAGAGAGCTAAACCGAGATAATGTTTTGGATATATTTAACTCCGCAAAATATCTAAAAATCAAAGGTAGTTCAGTTTGTTTATACTGTTAAAGTGTACTAGTAAAGTGTGTATAATAAATTGTAGATTTGGTCGAGCAATGCTGGGCATTTATAGACAACCCAGATGTGTTTAGCGAGGATACAGCCTTTTTACTTTATGTGGATGCCAAAATAAAGAATCTCCCTGAAGTAAGAGAGTTGATGTTGCCAAGAGTACAATCATTTTTCTTGATGTTGGTCAGTTCGCAAGACTGGTTGGAACTAGAGTTGGAAGATGTCAAGAACTTCTTAAAATCCAACTACATCTCAGTCAACTGGTAGGCCATTTACCTTACATAACATATGTTTCAAAATATCGGTCTAATTTAAACACTTTAGCGAAATGGAAGTATTCATGTCTGCTGTAAGATGGTTAAAGCACGACTGGGTCAATAGAGACAAATACAAGTACGAAATATTAGAATGTGTACGATTTGGCAATATAGCGCCATGGCAATTAGTTGACATTAAAAGAAACCCAGAAAATCCCGACTTTTTGGAGCTGGCCAAAGATGCCCGGATATGTAAAATGATAGATGACGGATTAGCGTGAGTAAACTTTACAATATTTACCTCGCAAAGAATAAAGGAATAATATTTTTTAGATTCGTTATAATCAAATATTGGTATGGTCAGGAAAATAATGATTTTATACACTGGAACTCCGTTCTGGGTCTCATTGAACCCCCCATTAGAAACTGGAGTGGTTGCGATAAAACCTACTTCACGTACAGAGAATTTCTAATTTATTTGGACCAGTACCGCAGAAGTCAATTGATTGAGAAAAACAAACCAAAAGCCATTATGGAGAAGAAACACGCCATTGAGTTAATAAAAAATAACCCAGGTAATAAATAAAGTAAGTTGAAGTATGGTTTACGAAATTTGATGATTTTTTAAGCAATTCAGCAAAGTCAGGATAAACATTCTCCAAGGGTGCCAACTATGGACGAATTTTTAAGCAAGAAAAAAGTAAGTGCAGGAAACCGCAAAAAGATTGGCAAAATTTCTTAGATTTTTTATAAATTATCGTAACGCTCTTCTATTGTATATTTAATTTTAAAAATATAAACCCAAAATCACTTTCTTATACTTATTAAAAAAATAATTCTATTGTCATCTTAAGTTCCAAATCGTTTGAAATTGGCGTAAACACAAAAGGCGTTACACCTTGGCGTCCAGTTAATGTTTTATGTTTGTAAAAATATTTTTATTCATCAAGGAAATTTTTACTTGGGCTTAAAACTGATTCAGTGCTATAAAAAAATCAGAAATATCCTGTCGCCAAAGTCCTGCTAAGGAAGGTCATTTAACACCCTAATAAACAATAGTTTTGTAAGGATTACTGATAAATTTATTAAAGGAAAAGGTAACAAGTTTCATGTAAGTGCATTTCAGAACATTAGGAGCTAAAAAGGAGGAGTTTTGCATTGTAGTGTATTCTACATTTTAACCTAGGAATGCACTTACAATGCCTAACTTTTACCTTTTTAGCTTGTCATAAAAAATTTAAAAATATATATATTTATTTTTAGATGCCTCCCTTTCCTATGCCAAACATTCTAACAATGCCTGCTCTACCGACAAGAAGGAGCAACCTAAAATCTGAGAGTAGTAGTGAATTTTCAAAAACAATAACATCGAGCAGTAACGGCACAACTATATCTGGAAACTACATTAAATTTAGAGACAAAAACTGTAAAAGTTATAAACTTCCTATGGATAGACTATCCAATCCACCACACTTACCAACTAAACAAACTGAAGGACCTTCTCTATTACACAAAAATAATGCAGCTGTGGTGATTCAAAGGGCTTTCAGAATTCATCAGAGAAATGATTTGATAACATATAAAAAACCTGGCGGGAAAAGTAACAGTAAAAGCAACGTTCTTAAAATGTTTCAAAATAGCCAACAAATTTTAAAACCCGATCAAAAATACGTAAGCATCACATCTTTGTTTCATCAAGAAAAAGAATCAGTCATTGTTTTTGGAGGCATCGATCCTCATGAGACTTACGGGGTCGGAAGGAACACCGGAAAGGATATCTTTAAGTATGTGCCGCACGAAAACAATTGGGAGTATGTTGGTGACTTGCCAGAACCCAGGTATTACCATTGCGTCGAGTTTTTTAAAGGACGGATATATTTAGTAGGTATATATCAAGTTATATAAAGTGGTTAATTCTTAATAACCAAGTTTGAAACAACCTTTTGTGTTCATTCTGGGTATATCTAGTAAAAAAGCTCTTCTTGTGCAACTTTTGGGTGCATAGATAAAAGAAATTGACCACCTTGAAGTTTAATTACCCCGAAGTATTAGTTTTTAATTATATTTTTTATCCTGAGGGGGTTGCGACCCCAGAGACGACGACAAGGCCAAAACTAAAGTGGTCGATACAGTGTGGAGTTTTGACCCATCCAGTAGACAATGGTATAAAGAAGAAAATATGCTTATACCCAGAAAGCATTTTGGATTGGTTGTTTTTAATAAATTTATGTACGCCATCGGAGGACAAAACAAACACAAGTAATAAATAAGAAATTTTTAAAAATTTAATGTTTTAGTGATATTTTTTTCATAAAGGGTTTTAAGATCAGTTGAAAAATATAATTCCATGCAAACTTCTTGGGAAGAAGTTGCTTCTTTATTAATTCCACGAACAGGTCATTGCAGTGTAAAATACAAAGAGAGCATTTGGGTGGCTGGAGGACTTTCTGGACTAAAAAAGAATACCCTTTTGGACTTGGTGGAAAGCTACAATCCCAAAATTAACCAGTAAATATATTTTTATAATAATTACACTATGATAGTTTTAGAAACTTTTTTTCCTAACATTGAGTACTCCAGCTTAGTTTAACTAATTTTGGGCCGATGATTTCAAAAATGTCATTTGTTTTTCTCTAGGACGTCTAGGATTTAAAATAATTTCGTAATAAAATGCTCTGCTCAATCACCTCAAAATGTAAGTTTTTTGTTAGTATTTTAATTATTTTGACTTAAATTTATCTTGAATGTACTAAAGTAATTGGTATACAGCAAATAGATCATATTTATCTGAACAATATGACATTTTAAATAGGTACTAAAACTAAAATTTTAATGTATTTTATGTAAAAAAACATTAATTGACATTTTTTGTCGTTTATTTTAATTATTGAATTGAAAGGGCAACAAAGTAAACAAGTTTCGGTCTTTTTTATCCAAATTAAGCCCACAAAATTTAATGCATTGCATAATTAAATTTATTAAATCGTATCAAATATCGAATTGAATTATAGTATTATTGTGCTTAATCCTCATCATCATCGTACATCTTTTGCTGCAAATTCCAGCAAATGTCTCCTAGCAATGAATCCAACTTCTTTCCGCTATACCCATAGATATTTACTTGGTAAAATCGTAATCCATATTCATCAGTTCGGCAAATTTATCAGGATGAAAAAAAAAAGAAAATGTATTTTAAATAACATATTAACGCTAATTCTTTACAAAACGGAGAGCATTTTGGCCCCAATTTTAGGCCTGATATGAACCAAGTATACATTTTCAATAACAGCTTTAACACTGCCATATGAGACAAGCTCGTCTTTTTTAATGCTTTTTGAATGCTCTCATTTAATATTCCTGCAAAATTAAAGTAGTAGTTATATCTCATAAAATATGTAATGAAATATTGCGTTGGTTTTTCTTGGGCGTAAAGGACCGCAACAAAAACAAAACGGCGACATAAAGGTTCTACTCCTTTCTCTTTATCTGCCACTTCCATTACCACTTCCAGTTCCTACTCTTTTTTTGGTTCTTAAAATCAGTTTCAAGTAAAAATACAATACAAGATGCACTTTAATGTGCTTGAACGATAAAGTAGGTAAAGGCGCCTTTGTACTTCATTTCGATATTAAATTTTGAAACCCATTTACTTTGTTGTCTTTTCAATTTAATTAGTAATTAAAGAACGACACAAAAATTTAAAAAAATGATACTTTTTACCAAAAAAACATTATAATTTTAGTTTTGGTATTTAATGAATTTGACATTTATCTACCGATGACTTTGTATGGAGTCCCTGTATATTTTTGACAAAAAACGTCAAAAATATACTGAACATCCAAAGTAGATTTAAGGCAAAATAATTTAATAAATAATCAAAAAAAGTTAACGAAAAACTTACATTTTGAGATAATCGGACAGAGCATTTTATTACGCAATTATTTCGAATTCTAGACGTCCTGGAGTAAAACGAGTGGAATTTTTTAAATCAGCAGCCCAAAATTAGGTAATATAGGTGGGCGTACTCAATGTTAGTAATTCGAACTATCATAGTGTTATCGTTAAAAATAAAAAACAATTACATTTAATTAAAAAAAAGGTCGTGACGAATTTGATTCTAGATGGACTAAAATAACTAAACTCTCATCTCCACGATGTTTTTCCTGCCTCCACGTCGAAGGAGACGTCATCTACTGTGTAGGAGGGGCCGGTAAAAGCCTCTTGGGCCCGAAAGATTCCATAAGTATGTGCAACCTTGAAATGCTGAACCTGAAAACTGAAAAATGGGTGACTCTGACGGAATTGTCTATACCAAGACATGGGCACTGCGTGGCCAAATTGGGCACACAACTTATGGTGATTGGCGGAGTTACCACCACTTATATGAGAGCCTTAAGCAATACTGAATGTTTTTGTTGTCAAAGAGGTGAGAAATTAATTTAATAAATTATTAATCAATGGGTTTCGTTTAGTTTTAGTTGTTTTTTTATCTTTTTGTAAATAAACTTTCTTTAGTTTTTTTAGTTTCTTTAGTTTCTTTAGTTTCTTTAGTTTCTTTAGTTTCTTTAGTTTCTTTAGTTTCTTTAATTTCTTTAGTTTCTTTAGTTTCTTTAGTTTATTTAGTTTCTTTAGTTTCTTTAGTTTCTTTAGTTTCTTTAGTTTCTTTAGTTTCTTTAGTTTCTTTAGTTTCTTTAGTTTCTTTAGTTTCTTTAGTTTCTTTAGTTTCTTTAGTTTCTTTAGTTTCTTTAGTTTCTTTAGTTTCTTTAGTTTCTTTAGTTTCTTTAGTTTCTTTAGTTTCTTTAGTTTAGTTTCTTTAGTTTCTTTAGTTTTTTTTAGTTTCTTTAGTTTTTTTTAGTTTCTTTAGTTTCTTTAGTTTCTTTATTTCTTTAGTTTCTTTAGTTTATTTAGTTTCTTTAGTTTCTTTAGTTTCTTTAGTTTCTTTAGTTTCTTTAGTTTCTTTAGTTTCTTTAGTTTCTTTAGTTTCTTTAGTTTCTTTAGTTTAGTTTCTTTAGTTTCTTTAGTTTCTTTAGTTTCTTTAGTTTCTTTAGTTTCTTTAGTTTCTTTAGTTTCTTTAGTTTCTTTAGTTTCTTTAGTTTCTTTAGTTTCTTTAGTTTCTTTAGTTTCTTTAGTTTCTTTAGTTTCTTTAGTTTCTTTAGTTTCTTTAGTTTCTTTAGTTTCTTTAGTTTCTTTAGTTTCTTTAGTTTCTTTAGTTTCTTTAGTTTCTTTAGTTTCTTTAGTTTCTTTAGTTTCTTTAGTTTCTTTAGTTTCTTTAGTTTCTTTAGTTTCTTTAGTTTCTTTAGTTTCTTTAGTTTCTTTAGTTTCTTTAGTTTCTTTAGTTTCTTTAGTTTCTTTAGTTTCTTTAGTTTCTTTAGTTTCTTTAGTTTCTAAACTGTTAGGTAGTTTATAAAATCTAATATACAGTGTGACCCATTTGTTTGCGACTCACCCCTGTAAAATCTTTATTTATTGTGCGATTTTAACAGGATTTGTAAGTGTAGATCTTGATAAACTGTATTTTTAAAACAAAAAAGCCATATTTTTACAAAATATATTTGCATACAAGGCCTACTATGTCAGTTTTTAAGAGTAAATTTTTAAGAATTCATATTAGCGATTTTTTTTAAACAAAATCTCAGCGTTGCCAACCCTACGGATTTTTCCGTAGATCTACGGATTTTAAGGGTCATTAACGGATAACCGGATTTTCTCTGAAAATCTACGGATATTTTGACATTATCGCATAATTCATAATTACTTGATATTTTATGTATTAAAACCTGCGACAAGTAAAAAATTGCTTGAACCCCTTTTTATATTTTCTAACTATTTCGCTCCGTCCAGTACCCAGATAGCACCATTCGTCCAATGGACGTCCGTTTAAGATCCATTTTAAGTACATTGGTCCACGGACTAAAAATGGATGTACTATGTACGTCCATATATTTACATCCTTTGTACGATTTTAATGGACGTCCATATAGTGTCCATTTTACGTCCATAATTATTATTACGGAAATGTAGTTAAAACGTATTGTTGGCTGCATAATAACAGTTATGATCAATCTCACTGACATTCAAGCAAGCGCGGGCTATAAAGGTCTTAAGCTATCAATGAAATGTTAAACACTTGTAGTATTGCAAATGTAATATTCGAATACAAGGATTTCCTGAAATGTTTAACATTGAATGTTGTAACTTTTAACAACTTTTAGAATATTTATATTCCTAGTGGGATTGTTACTGAGCCAGACAAAAGGCATTTCAGTCATGTTGTAGAAAATTTTCTGCAACATCGCAATGAAAATACAGTCGCAAAAAACAGTTAAAGTAAGCAAAAAAGCAGGTCCTGGATGCTGGAGGAATGGTTTAAACACCTTATAGACGTCCATCGGTGGACGACTTATGGATGTCCAAAGTTGTGACATCTGGACTCTAAACGGATGTCCATGGGACGTCCATAGAAAAAAATGGACATCCTATGTACATACAGACGTCCACGAGCATACGTCCATTGGACGTCCATAGTATACCTTTGTGCTATCTGGGTAAACGGCAGGTATAAAACCTTGCACTGAACGTACTCATGGAACGTTTCATGGAACGCACTCATTAGTTGTTTGTTACCAGCAGGTTACCAGAAAAAGTGCTCTCTGTCAAAAAGATGCTGTGAAAAAAATGGCAACTAAAGTTTTAAATTTGTTTTGGTATCTATTTATATTTAAAAGTTTTTTATACATGTATTACACTATTAGTAGGTATCTAATTACATTGTTTATAAATATATGAATTTATGAAATGTGTAAATCTTAAAAGCGCCAAGCACTACTAAGAAAGCGCCACCAGAGATAACCCTTATCTCTGGCGCCACCTTGCGCTAAATAACTGAACAGCTGATAAATATTGAGTACCAATCAAAATTTTTAGTGAAAATTCGTAAATCTATCCAAGTTTCTAAGTCGTCGCGGTGCCTGCCACCTCTGATCCCTGGTACGGATAAATGTCCGGATTTTACCCTTCACCCACGGATTTCTACGGATATTTGACTAGAGAACTCAGGATTTTTCGAACGAAAAGGTTGGCAACGCTGCAAAATCTAAGCACGGCACTGGATTCACCACCCCTCAAAACGACCCTATAATAAATTTTATTGAAAAATTTTAAGTAGTAAAATGCACAATAATAAGTACCAAAATTTATTTTGTCAAGTTATCCATGAAAAATTAAAATAAAATTAAACTTATAGTTATAGTACCTACCTACCATGTTACTATAGTAAAATAAATATATTTGTTTTTAACATTTAATAATATTTGTCGTTATATTTCGGTATTTCCTTAGATACCCTATGTACTTTAAATTGTTAAAGTTGGCTTTATTATCTAATCTGTGACTATACCTAGTTTATAGCGTTAATAAATGTATGAAACCCTTTTTATCAATTTCAGGGGCCTGGGTTCGTGGAATAGCTTGTTTACCCACTGCTTTGTCGGGCCATGCTGCTGTTACCCTACCGCCTGCAATGTTGTTGCCATAAAAATATTTGAATTACCATTTTTATTGTTACGTTTAAATACAGAAAAAAATATGAAATTACGAATACTTAATTTCTGTATTTGAGCTTTCCTACGTTCATAGATATCTGTAATAAGTTCAATCGATTGCGAAATTCAACCAACAGATGTCGCGTTTCATGTAAGCGTCATTTACACAATGTTAAAACAGTTTTTCCAAGTTTTAAACTTATTATAATAAATAAATATGCCTTCCTAAGAAATATTTTCTTGATTATTTACCTCCTCATAAACTTTTTACCTGAATTACTTTTAAATATGATAATACATTATTTACAGTGTTGTCACATTTAATACCGATATTCCATTATTACGTTGCAGTTGTAATGAAAATTTAACAAAATCAATATGTTAAAACTACTCTAATTTTAAAACATCACAAAATAATTTATGTTAGAGAGAATATTCCAAATTAATAAGTAAAAATGCAAAGCAGTGCGAAAATTGGCAACGCCGTTTAGAACCGGATAATCTCTTGGATAGTGTAAGTGGGGATTTGTAATCTATCGAGGAGTTTTGTGTACGGGTGCGGTGTTGTGACTCATTTTTAATCAAAATAAAGTTTAGGAATCAAGCAGAAGTGTAATTTTTGTGGTGAAAGGTAAGTTTGTGCCCGTTTTATTGCTAATTTAAGAAGTTCACTAAACATAATGTTCTAAAACAAGTGAATATCCAGTCGATAAACTTCCACAACATGGAGGACCTCATCTCTTTGTGCGTGGGTGCATTCAAGATGCATATCTCAAAAATGCACTTGTTACGTTTTTTTGTTTGTTGGTAAACAAATTTCCAATTATCTACTTGTAGAAATTATTTTTATTTATTCGATTATCTTTTACGCAGACGTTGTGGAATTTTCTCTGAAGAGTAATTAACATAGTTGCAGTCATTTCTTGGAATTTGGTGACTAATTTTAATGTAAACTTTTAAACATTATTTCTAGGTGTGAGCACCAACCACCATGAGTTACATGCAGGCAAACCAAAATCGGCCAAGTAAGTTAAATTTTATCATTTATTTCTGCTTATCTTACATTTCTCTGGGTTTATATATAATAATGGATGCATTGTTAGTTTAGTCAAATAGCAATAATTTATGTTTGTAGGATGTGTAGGTATTCGGAATTTATTTTAAAACACATCAAACAAAAAGCATGTGGTAAATGTCACTTCCACAATTCATTTGTTATTTTTGTGAAGTAGTTTTGTGAGACATTTTTGTTTACATAATAAAGTATTTTAAACTTATATTTCCTCTCCAATTCCAATTATTTGGAAAACCAATTTAATCTTCAATAAAACTAAATATTAATTCAGACACCTGCATAGATTAGTTAAAATTCAGGTAGTAAGTTCGTATATACCTTGCTTTAGTCATGGTCCTTTGTGTTACAGTTTTCATATGCTTCAAAAACCATTTTAAATATAAAGTACCTATAAACATTAAAATTGGGGTGAAATTCAATACAATGTTGTCTAGTATTACAAATACCTATATTCTCAAGCGCATACAGTTTGTATAAGATTACTATGTGAAAACAACTTATGAATGTAAAACTGGATATTGCGTTCAAGATTTAAATCATTATTATCCAATTCCCTTTGATATTAACATCGTTAAACCGGAAAATCTACCTTTGAAAATCTGAAATTAGAAAATGCTCGCTCCGGCATTTTTTGTATAACTAGGTTTCTTATCCTTTGTAGCTGCATTCTATTGAAGTTTCATTTCTTTTTCGAGCGCCGTTCGTTATAACTTCCGTCCGTCCGTCCTATGTATAGAAAATAGCGCCACAGGGGACATACAAAATGAACATTCCATCTAAATTTTAATGTGTCCGTCGGTTTTTGATTAGGCAATACATTCAAACGAAATTGTAGGCTCTGAAATTTTTATAAATAAATAACAATAGGCCGTGACAGCAAATTCAGCGCTGCCAATGTAGTAAAAATAAAACGTATTTTAATTAACAAATTACTACTTTATTACAAATTTAACGTATCATTAAAAAACTAAAAACAACATAAAATAGTACAGGCGGAAAAAGCGCTTATTTATACCTGAGCTTAGTGTTCTCTGCCTAGGCCTTAGCCGAGGCTGCAGATCTGAGCGAGGCAGTTAATATGTGTTTTCCGCTGTGTTGCATATACCTATATACTATTTTTTTAAGCATTTAATAATTTTATACTTACATTGAAATTATCGAGTTTGCGACATTTTGTTAGGTTTGACGTTTGAGATATGTTATATGTATTATAGGTTATGTATAATAATTTATTCTACAGTGACCTGTAAGTTTACATTTTCTTTGCTGATTTCGAGCTAAACGCGATAAATGGAATCACTCTAATTTCAATGTATTTTCATTATTGTACGGCGGTGTATAATAATTTGACTTTTGAACTGCGTAAAAATATGAAGTCCATTTGTATAGGCTTATGAGTGTTATAATATGAATATTGTTTTACGCTTGAAAAAAAAGTTAATAAGTAACAATATAAATTGTTAATGAAGGTTTAAAACTTATATTTGTGTCTTTCTTAAGTTGGCAGCACAAAATTTGAAATGTCATTTTTAAAAAGTTATAAAAAATGGAAATCAATCTGTGGTCTCTAAAAACAAATGTAACTTTAAAAATGATTTTTTTTTTAATCTGCCGTAAAAAAATCTGATATTTGTGTCTTATGCCTTGCAAAATCATATAATAAATTTTGAAGACATTCTATGAAAACTCTTTAAATGGATATTATATACAGGGTGTCCCAGAACTCGCGCCACAGAGAAAAAGGGGGCGTGCCGATAGCAATGGAGATGCCAAATTTAAAAATAAAAAATTTCTAGGTAATAGTGTAATCGAATGAGAGCAAAAAAGCGGCAGCCAATACCGAGAGATCTCGCCTAGGTTAAACGTAGGAGCTTTAAAAATTGCTAGGAGACGATAGAACATTGTTGTATTAAAAACATTTAAAAATCTTTTGGCCAACTGTATTTAGTTGTAAAAAGCTTTCAAAAAATGAGGTTATTAATCTATGACTGATACTTCAGAACGCCAATGTTTTAAAGTAAAAAATCAAACCAGTTGTACTTTATTTAGCTTTTTTTGGGCCCACGCTCCCCATAAATAGTTATCATTTCGGTATAATCATCAAGGAAAACATTATGTATAATAACTTAATTTATTATCTAATATAATGGCTGTGTTCCGTAATTTACTGCCATTACTGTCAGTAATTTTACTGTCAGTAGCGGAAAAGGACCGTTCCGTAATTTATTCAGTACTGACGCACAGTGAAATTGGAACGCGCCTCAGTAGCAGCAGAAAGTGACAATGGTTACGCAAGGTTATGATTTGTGATTTACTGACAATTGACAAACTTTACTTTCGGCACAGCAGAGAACATAAATAAAAAATAAATATAACAGTTATTATAAGAAATATAATGTTTGGTTTATGGCAGAGAAATATGGAAAATTTAATGTTATCGTCGTCCGCGTCGAAAAATGTATACCTATAGGAATAGGAAATATAAAATTTCACTGACACCACAACAATAACCCAAATACCAAAAATTACTCTTAAATTCGTCCGCTGAATACAAATATATAACATTTTCTAGGTACTACCTATAGTTAGTAGTTAGTAGTAGGTAGTTTCATATTCTGGGTCTTCGTATGCGTACTCCCCGCCGACCTGTCTTCGTCACTGCTGCTTGTACTTTCAAGTAATATTTTATCAATAAATATTGAAATAATTAGTCCTATAGGTATTCACCAAATACCATTATATGATATAATTTATATCCTTCACTTTATTTGACAGCTATTTTTTGTTTAAAAGTTTGGTTATGTGTTTTACTGGAGCCACAGCACCTCTCTGTCCCCAGTTGTTTCAGTAAAATTAATCTGCCGTACATTTATAAAAGGGTAGTATTTACCACTGAGCTCAGTAACTGAAAGTGGATTTCGGAATGCGTTTTCAGTACCGACAGTACTGAGGCTTTGTTATCTATGGTACTGACAGTAAATTACGGAACATAGGCAATATTAATGACAAAAGTAAAGATTGACAGCATTGTCAATAATAACTTAATTTATAACCTAATATAATATTAATGACAGGAGTAAAGATTGACAGCAGTTTTACAATGAATTAAATTCCAGTGGACCAAATATTTTACACATTTTTTATTATCTACAATGCAACCTAAGTATCCTAGCAATTTAAAGAATTCCCTGTGGTGATCTATTGGGATTGGCTATCGTTTTTTATTCTTATCTCCCTTATCCTTTGCGTTGGACAATTTGAATTTTTAAATATGTGTTTCAAATTACTTTCGGTACGTTCCCTTTTTCTCTGTGGCGCGAGTTCTGGGACACCCTGTATATTAGGGTGAGCCAAAAAAACTAACCTATCGGATTTATGGGTTAAAATGAACCTACATAGGGAGCAAAAAATTTCCCTGCAAGGCAAAATTTTTTGCTCAATTTTAAAAGGTGTTGGTGAGCATTCTAAGTTTTCCATTGAAATAACACGTAAAAAAATCTTTTTTCATTAAAAAGACTATAACTTTTGAACCGTTTGAGATAAAATTTACGTCGCGGATTCTTGTAGAGCATAAAATTTCCCAAAGAATCTATACCAGGATTATTTTTTTTAATTCAAAAATTCGTATGTTTGAAAGCTTTGAAAAGTGTAAAAAATCCCTAAAACTGCAGTTTTTTATCTCAAACGGTTCAAAAGTTATAGTCTTTTTAATGAAAAACGATTTTTTTACGTGTTATTTCAATGGAAAACTTAGAATGCTCACCGACACCTTTTAAAATTGAGCAAAAAATTTTGCCTTGCAGGGAAATTTTTTTCTCGGTATGTAGGTTCATTTTAACCCATAAATCCGATAGGTTAGTTTTTTTGGCTCACCCTAATATATATATATATTATACCGGGATATACCTACTACCTTAAAGTTTTATCAATATTTTTAAAAATTTTAAATAAACACATTTATACATGGCTTTTAAATAAAAATAGTGAAATGCACTAAATTCAGATTATTCGTTGGAGGTGTTATAATAGAAGTACTAATGTAACATTAAATATTTATGCTTTTTAAAAAAGTTGAGGAGGCCCCAAGTATCGAACCCGATATCTCTCGCATACTATGCGAGCGCCCTACCATCTGAGCTTCCCAGCCTAATATCAATTTTATCACGCTCGGGGAATAATATTGATTCACAGTGTATGACGTAAAAATTATGACATCAGTCGGGATCGAACTTAAGCCCAGCTTCAGAAATCTAGACACAACGTTATTTTAATTATTTTTAAGGTTATAAAAATTCTTCGCTGTTGTAAAAAAACATCAGATTTGTCACTTTTCACTTTTTCTAATTTAATATAAGTACAAAGTCAAAAATAAAAAATAGACAGTTTAAACTAAGATAAAATTTATTTAATAAAAAATGTAATGAATGTTTATTTTTTAAAAATAATTTCGTCGTAATTAATTTACTTTTAAATAACAAAATTTTATTGTATAACACCCCACGAATTCCTTGAGATTTTAAGTTTTTTATTATTATAATTATTTTTGCCACTGACTACTGAATTTTCCTATAGGATAATAATAATAATAATTATAATTAAAATCTGTATAATATTTTTAATCACATACTTTAACCGAGGATCATTTGTAATATAGCCATGGTTCCTAAATAAATTAAAATACGTTAATTATACACCTTCACAGCAATTAATGGAAATATGTATTTTTACGAGTTTCAAATAAAAAAAAACAATGACACTGTTTAAAAAAATGTTAAAAATATAAACAAAACCTTGCACCAGTCACTACAAAAATAAATGTAAAAAATGACAAGCATGATTTTTTAAAAAATATAAAGATTGATACGCGCGGTTGTTTTAAGTGCCATTTTGTGAATTTTCAGTTGATTGCGTTAAATAAAGCTACAAATTTTCTTATTTTGTTAAAAATGTGATTTTTTAAACTTAATGAATGGGTATGATTTATTTATTTTTAGTTAAATTAGGACCCATAGGTACATTAACAATGATCCTTACTAAAGGTATTTGATTAACAAAATGTATATATGTAAAAAAATCGGGTTTTCCATAATATAGCAAAAACAAAAGCTAATAATTATTTAGCAAAATGATGGTAATTTTTGGAATCAGGGCAACCAAATTACCTTATTGGCCACCCTGTGACAAACAAAACATTTCATTTTGTCGGCCGTTGTTATTGATGATTAAGTAATAAGTTGTAGTAATTTCAGGATTTCTTACCCAATCCAAAGTTTTTCTAAAAATCTCCAATCAAATTTGAATTACCTAAATCATGAATTTTTTTAAATTCATTTAAATTAAATCACTGCCAACAATTCAAATATGATGGACACACAAATTTGACGAAGTTATCGAACATAATGCTTAAAACCTAAAAATCCTGTACTTATGTTTTTGAAAAATATGCGTCTCTATGTGTATCTTTTATTTGGCTCATAATATAATTATTATTATTATTATTATTGTAGCCTTTGAAGAATTGCGTTTTATATTCGCCAGGGTGAAAAATTATTATATATATTATAAGCAGTTTGTAATCAGAGAGAGGAAAGATGTGGTACACATTCAGAGTTATCTAGTAATTACTCAAACATTTTTAAGATTTAAAAAACATTTCCCCTTATCCCCACTTCCTTCTAAATAATTTACTCACCGCGTTTTCTTATTAACTTTTATTTAAGTGGGCCAACAAGGACACTATCAACAGGGTCCTAACGACCTTCCAATGCCTTCGTCAAAAGAACAAACCCTCATGTGGCAGCAGAACTCCTACATGGGTGACTCAGGCATCCATTCTGGAGCCGCCACTCAGGTCCCGTCGCTCACCGGCAAGGAGGACGAAGAGATGGATCTGTTTGATCTCGACCAAGGTTATGGTCAGGGTTTCACCCAAGACCAAGTGGACGAGATGAACAACCAGCTCAACCAGACTCGCTCGCAAAGGGTGCGCGCCGCCATGTTTCCGGAAACCCTGGAAGAAGGCATCGAGATCCCCTCGACCCAATTCGATCCCGGTCACCAGACCGCGGTTCAACGTCTGGCCGAGCCCAGTCAAATGTTGAAGCATGCCGTCGTCAATCTGATCAACTATCAGGACGATGCCGATCTGGCCACACGGGCTATTCCCGAGTTGATCAAACTTTTGAACGACGAGGATCAAGTGGTCGTGTCCCAGGCAGCCATGATGGTTCACCAACTGTCGAAGAAGGAAGCTTCCAGACATGCCATCATGAACAGCCCGCAAATGGTTGCTGCGTTGGTACGCGCCATCTCTAACTCTAACGATTTGGAAACCACTAAAGGCGCCGTAGGCACTCTGCACAAATTGTCGCACCACAGGCAAGGTCTACTCGCCATCTTCAAGAGCGGCGGCATCCCAGCCTTGGTGAAACTCCTTTCATCCCCAGTGGAAAGCGTTCTCTTCTACGCCATCACCACCCTGCACAACCTGCTGCTTCACCAGGACGGATCCAAAATGGCCGTGCGTCTGGCAGGCGGTCTGCAGAAGATGGTCGCCTTGTTGCAACGTAACAACGTCAAGTTTTTGGCCATCGTGACCGATTGCCTGCAAATTTTGGCTTACGGCAACCAGGAGAGCAAGCTGATCATCCTCGCTTCGCAGGGACCGATCGAGTTGGTCAGGATCATGAGGTCCTATGATTATGAGAAGTTGCTGTGGACCACATCCAGAGTTTTGAAGGTAAGATTAATTTTATTTTAAGCGACTTAAAATTGCAGACATACAGCGTCTAATAATTTAGTCAATGGCTAACTAATAGTACTATGCTCCACACCTCAAAATCCCACCACGTGACTACGTACGGAACGCAGTCTTTTGAAAATTTGGAATTTCAGCTTTTCAGGTTTTGTATTTGTCAAAGTACCTATAGTCAACGAAAGAATAGTTATTTGTTTTACAAGTCATACGAGTTTTAGTTGCTCACAAGGCCGTTAGGCCGAGTGTGCATTAACACGAGCTTGAAGAAAGCTTTTCTCACAAGTGAAATACAATGTTTTTTCTACGACCCTTTTATTTTTTTATTATTTTCAAATACAAAAAAATAACCTAAAAAGTGCTTGACAGACCTGTCACTTTTCACACAGACCTGTCACTTTTCACACAGAAATGTCACTTTACATTCGTGTTTTGCCTTGCCAATGAAAAGATTCATTTTCTAAGCAACAATGCTATTACGAAATGTGACTTTTACATAGTGGTTGTAGAAAAATAATATTTATACTTTTACTTCCTATGTTTAAGCATTATAAATTTAAAAATCTTTATAGTATCACAACAATGAGTTTTATGGAATATAAATACTGCAGAATAAGTAATATTTTTGTTCATTTGGTCTACATTCTCCATAAAATAGTTTTAACTAAACAGCATTTATTTAATCTAGCTTCTCTGAGATAGGTTAATGTACACTGCTTGTCAAAAAGTAGCTAACCTTCTAACTAATATACCCATACCCCATACTGTCAATACAAGTACCTGTAAAAGCTTTGACAGAACTTGATCTTTATCGAGCAATCATTATAACCTTATAACTTTTAAAATTTAAATAAATCCCACAGTTTGGTATCTAGTATTTTTACTATACGATTTCTTCTAAAAAATAGTAATTTTTGACTGAATTTAATCGACATTGAAAAATTATTATAACTAATAAAATTTTAATAAATCACATGTCATGGGAGTATTAAATATTTTCACATTGCAAGTTTCTCTAAGAATTGTTTTCTTATCATCCAACTTAAAGTAGGTATGTGGAGAGGTATGCACAAGTTTTGTCGTTAGAAGTATAAAAGCTTCAATTTAATTTAAACCATATTCAACAATCATTTAGTATACCTATATTTATATATCAAAATTACAAAATGAGATGATATTTTTTGTTATAATACATGGTGTCCCGGGTTTAATGATCTTAATTTTGCCAGTCGGTAGAGAATCAAAAAACAAAACGAATTTTCAAGGAAAACATGTATCGAAAAATTTAAAATAAGTGAGATACAGATCTCCAAAGTTTGAAACTAAAAATCGTTTTTTTCCCATAACTTTTAAACCGTTTCACTAATTTGGCTGAAATTTTATGCATATAGTTGGGAAATACTGACTCACGTACTGCTTATAACAATTCTTTTCAAGGCACTCCAGTGGCATAGATATTGAGGGTGTAGGTTTCCTTTTTCCGACCTATGTTTACGCCACTGACTTTTTTAAAAAACTGACACTATTTTTAAATCCTGTGTTCAATTAGGGAAATAAAGTTACTACGGTAAATTTTTAATAAGACGCTTCGATACAAAAATATTCAAGTTTGAATGTTTGAAAAACATCTCCAGACACCCATGTGTAGGACATGGAATTCATACCTAGGTACTTGAAAATGGGTAATAAGTGTTCGCTTTACCATAGCATACATTTGAAAATTAATGACATTTCAGTAAACAGTGTTTGTTTGTACTTCAAAAGTTAAAAAGTTATGAGAAAAAAATATTTTTTTATTTAAAAAATTGGGGGTCTGTATCTCAGTTATTTTCAATTTTTCGATACATGTTTTCCTTGGAAATTCGTTTTGTTTTTTGATTCTCTACCGACTGGCAAAATTAAGATCATTAAACCTGGGACACCCTGTATATTAAACTACCTTTAATACAGATATTCTTATTCCATAATAGAGAACCAACCATCGTTATTGTGGTACTATAAAGATTTATAAATTTTTAACGCTCAATCCTGATTTATACATTTCCTTCCTCCCTCCCGTAAAAGATGAACAATACGAAAACCGTAGTGCTGTTTATAGATTCCCGTACTCTAAGAATGCCCTTCTGTAAAAAGTTTCAAGTTTTATCTTTTACCGTAAAGGTCTCATGTCAAACCAATCACAGTAATTGATATAAACATGCGCTATAGGGCTATGGCGTGCAGATACAAAATATTTAATATAATACGTATTATTATTAAGAAAAGGTACAAAATTAAAATTTTACCAAGGTATAGGCACATGTTTAGTTTAAATAAAGTTTTTAAGCTATAGCTTGTGTTTCTTAAGAAATATATTAAAAAATAGCAGTTAAGAATACTTACATTTTGGTGTTTACAAGTTGTTAATTATAATGTACTGTTATAACAGGCTGTTAATAGTTATGATTTTTCGCCTTGGGCATCATGACGCACAGGGCCGAAAATTCAACTTTCGGCCCTTGTAGTGTAATATACTATTCTTTCGTTGGCTATATTTTGACAGAGACATAACCTGAAAAGGCTGTAATGTCAAATTTTTAAAAGACTGCGCATTCGTTCCGTACATAGTGAGACTTTAGTGAGTGTTTTGTGTTATAGCCATAGATGGCGCATTTTTCCTGTTGGTGGATGTATTTATTCGAATTATGCCCAAACATTTCTTTTGACCATAAGTATTCTTTGTCAGGTTCTTTCGGTATGTTCGAGCAACAAACCCGCGATCGTGGAGGCCGGAGGTATGCAAGCCCTCGCGATGCACTTGACCAACGCGAGCGCCCGTCTGGTGCAAAACTGCCTGTGGACGTTGAGGAACTTGTCCGATGCCGCCACGAAAGTGGACGGTTTGGAGGCCCTCTTGCAATCGTTGGTGACCGTTTTGGGATCGCAAGACGTCAATGTGGTGACCTGCGCGGCCGGCATTTTGTCCAACTTAACGTGCAATAATCAACGGAACAAAGTTACCGTCTGTCAAGTTGGAGGTAGGTTTAAATTTTGATATTTTTTATCCTTTAGGCAGAGTCAAATTATCTTTATTACCAAAAATTTTACTTTTTTTTCTGAAATGTTAAATGTAGCAAAACTAAAGAAATTTTTCATAAATTTTATATTTATATTTTTTAACTAAAAGGTATTTTCAAATTTTGTATTTTTGAAGTTAAACGTCTTTGCGGCGTAATTTAGTACACAGGTAGGTGTTAAAAATGGTGGGTGTTTTAATATTAAACACAACATGTAATGTAAAATAAAGAATATTTTATATTATTTACAAATTATTAGATATGAATACAAATGGACTTTGGCTTAAAATTTAAAAAAAGAATTATTAATACTACTTAGGTGTAAGTATTCTTATACCCAAGAAGTGTTAATATTTTTTTTTAATTGAATGAAAAGTAGTAATATTTTAAGTTTTTTTCCAGTTTGTGCAAAATCATATTTAGCTTATATTGGTATATAAGTTAAATATGATTTTTAACTAGCTAAAAAATCTTAAAATATTACTAAATTACATTTTTCACTTAAAAATAACAGATAAAAAAAGGTTTTATCACATTAGTTGCATCCACTATCACATTGCACCACTTCACCAAACCACTGAATTTTAATTTAAAATTTAAATAGCATGCATAGGTACACTACCATCAACTGCACTGGAAATACTGATCGCGGCCTTGCCGTTAGCGAATGTTGATGACTACGTGCCTTTTTTATCACAATTTGTGTAGCTGTCAACACATAATAGTATCAAATGTACACCGCGACGAGTTTATGTTAAAATAAACACTAGATTGGCTTGGCGCTGTGATAAATGAATTTAAATTAACACTTCACAATTTAAAATAAATACTTAATATTTTTGACCAATTTTAATGTATATACAGGGTGTTTCATAATATATGCGCAGGACTTCAGGATGTGATAGCTCATCCAAAAAGATGAAAAAAGTCGCTATTAAGTTACGCTCTAAAATGCACAATTTTCGAGATACAGAGTGTTGAAATTTTAGAAAAAAATTCGTTTTTTTTTCGAATATCTCCGGAACCGTTTATCGTACAAAAAACAGCTTTTGTAAGCATTTTCTACTCAAAATAAGCTATTTTCCTCATAATTGGTGGAGATTTTGAAGGGGTAGCGGGTGTTTTTCTCCTCAACTTCTACGCCCCTGAAAAAAGTACGGTTTTGAGAAGCCCATTCGAACCGCCAATGTTTTCTACACAAAAAGGTACTCTTGGTCATAAGCTCTAAAGTTAACCGTTTTCGAGAAAAATCAACTTTTATGTTTAAAAACATGGTCAATTTAAATAAAAAATATTTTTTTTACTAATTAAACAAAATTTATTTTAACGTTAGGACAAGTAACAAAACCAAACCATAATTGCAGAATAAAAAATGATTTAAAAGTGTCTTTGCTTAATTCTCCAAACCGTAAAGGTAACGCATTCGCACATTTCAGCATTTGAGTAAAAAATCATTTTTTATTTTTTTTTTTAATTTTGCAATTATCGTTTGGTTTTGTTACTTTTTCTAACGTTAAAATAAATTTTGTTTAATGAGTAATAAAAATCTTTTTTCAAAAAATTGACCATGTTTTTAAACATAAAAGTTGATTTTTCTCGAAAACGGTCAACTTTAGAGCTTATGACCAAGAGTACCTTTTTTGTGTATAAAACATTGGCGGTTCGAATGGGCTTCTCGAAACCGTACTTTTTTTAGGGGCGTAGAAGTTGAGGAGAAAAACACCCGCTACCGAAAAAAAATTTTTCTGGCACAAAATATAGCTTATTATGAGTGGAAAATGCTTACAAAAGCTGTTTTTTATACGATAAACGGTTCCAGAGATAATCGAAAAAAACGATTTTTTTTCTAAAATTTCAACACCCTGTATCTCGAAAATTGTGCATTTTAGAGGGTAAGTTAATAGCGACTTTTTTCATCTTTTTGGTTGAGCTATCACATCCTGAAGTCTTGCGCATATATTATGAAACACCCTGTATAAGTACCTCAGATATATACAAAAGTAGTAATTTTACCTCTTTTAATTTTATTTTTAAAAAATTCGTCGAGCCATTGGGCTAAAAAACTAGTCAATATAACTTATTTTTACAAAATAAGTATTAATTTTTTTCTTATTTTTGAAGTAGTAGAGTTGTTTTTATTTAATTAAAGAAATTCATTTCCATACTTTATTTCTCCTAAAATTTTACAAAAAAACCTAAATTCCTAAATAAAATTTGTAATTTTGCCGTGGGAGCCCTAATATTAACACCAAATGATTTTACCACTCCATTTGGTAACTTTACACCGAAATATTTTATACTGTATATGGTCCGAGCGCACGTGTATTTTCAACATTTTTTCTCAGGCGTCGACGCCCTCGTAAGAACAATCGTGAACGCCGGCGACCGGGAGGAGATCACCGAGCCGGCAGTGTGCGCCCTGCGTCACCTCACTTCGCGTCACGTGGAATCGGAGATGGCGCAGAACGCCGTGCGTCTGAACTACGGCGTCCAGGTGATCGTCAAGCTGCTGAACCCGCCGTCCAGGTGGCCGCTGATGAAGGCCGTGATCGGTTTGATCAGGAACCTGGCGCTCTGCCCGGCGAACCACGCGCCGCTCCGGGAGCACGGCGCCATCCACCATTTGGTTCAGTTGTTGATGCGGGCCTTCCAAGACACTCAGAGGGTGAGAACAGCGATTATTTTCCAAAAATTCGTTAATCCGAGTGTTTTATTTTGTTTGTTTTTAGCGTGCCAGCGTGGCAAGTGGTGGTAGCAATCAACCGGGTACTTATGCCGACGGAGTTCGAATGGAGGAAATCATAGAGGGCACTGTGGGTGCTTTGCATATCCTTGCAAGAGAGTCGCATAATCGTGCCATCATTCGACAGCAAATGGTAAGTGAAAAAAATGTAGAAAATCATCGTGAAATTTAAAATTTCCAGGAAAATTTACTGCCCAAAAAAACGTGTAAAAAAAGAAATTTTTCGAAAAAAGTTTTTTTACCTAAAAAAAAGCCAGACAAAAAGTTTATAGTATAAAACTTTAGTATTAAAAATATGATTTACAATACAACTAATTTTGATGAAAAAATAGATTTTACGACACTGATAAATTAGCGTTACTATGGAACGCCGTTGTATTTTTTAATCAGGAATTTCTAATATTACTTTTAAATTTTAGATATCTGAAATTTTAAACAATATTTTAAACTTAAAAATATTGTAAAATTAAAAATATCAAAGTGACCAGAAAACTAAAGTAAATTTTTAATTCAAACTGATATTTTTAATTCATGTAAATATTTGTAAAATTAAAAATATCAAAGTGACCAGAAAACTAAAGTAAATTTTTAATTCAAACTGATATTTTTAATTCATGTAAATTTTTGATATCAAATTGACCAGAAAATTCAAGTACATTTTTAATTCAAACTAATATTCATAATTGGCATAAATTATAAATATCTACTTCAATTTTTAATTTAACCTACAGTCAAACTTTGATAACTCAAACCATGACTTGCTACAAAAAAACTGAGTTATCAAGACTTTGAGTAAGTGATTTGTGATTCATAGGCCACATAAAAAGTGCGGGCCATTAAAAAAGGATTTCGGCAACGAAGAACACAAATTTGTCAAATTTTCTTAAAAAAAAAGAACCAGATGGAAAATACTACTTTCTAAAAATGAATTAGTTAAAAATGACTAATTGTCATAGCGAAAAAGCAGCCACTAATAATTCTAGTCAACAGCAATTTGTATCCTGGATATTTAGCAGTCAATTTCTATGTAAAATTGTCTGCTGAATTCGAATATGTCGTCAAAAGTTACAGGACAGTTTTTAGGATTTATTCAATTTTCCATATAATATGGAATTAACTATATCTCAAAAACTGCTATGACGGTCTTTTCGGATTCAGGGGACAATTTTACATGAGTATTGGCTGTTAAATGTCCTGGATGCAAATTGCTGTGGACTACAGTTATTAGTGACCGCAGTGAATTAGTCAAAAAGGACATTTCAAATTGAAAAAGCATGCTTTTTCACTATGAAATATGTTATTTTTGACTAATTCTTTTTTAGAGAGTATGCTTGAAAAAAGTTACAGTTTTACATGATAATAATAATAATAATAATATTGCTTTAGAAAATAACCACAATAAATCAGTTTCTTCAATAAAAACTCCTGCAAAAAAATGAAGAAATAAAATCTTTTTTTGTACTATCAAATATTTACTGATAAGAACTCATCAACTTGATAAACAAGACCTGCCACAGACAAAATTTCAGAGGCATTTTTAAAAATTTCGTTATTTCTGTTATTTTCAGATTGAACAGAAAACTAATGTAATAAGAACCCAACAAACAAAAACCTAAATTAAAAATTATCCCGAAAAAATGAGCTACAGAAAATTTTTTGTTTTTTTTTTTTAAAGAAGTATTGATTTTTTGTAAATGTTTTTGAATTTTATAAACTTTAATAAAAGTTTAGTTTTTTAATTAATCGTTATTCTCCACCAAGAGAAAAATAAATTCAAGTATTACATATTTTTAATGATAAGCTTTACTTACTTTTGCTGACAAAGGGAAGGGGAGTTAAAAATTACAAAATTACTGCTTACCTAATACTTGAATGGCCCCATACTTAAAATTTTAAAAACTAGCAAGTCCAGTTGAAAAAATCATTGAGGGTCAGGAAACCATAAAGAAAACACATTTTGTCTGGAAAAAAATCAGGGAAGGTCAGGGAATTTGGTTTAGACAAATCGGTGTTTTAAACATTATTTTGTGTTTGTCGTAGATAAAGAATGGTATTCAATTCGTTAGTCCCTAAATAAAACTCGTTACGGCGTTTATAAAACTTGTTGCATAATATACCATTAATTACAGGTTGTCCCAATATTCGTTGGACTTCTGTTCAACGACATCGAAAACATACAGCGCGTCGCAGCCGGCGTTCTTTGCGAACTTGCCGCCGATAAAGAAGGCGCCGAAATGATCGAGCAAGAGGGCGCCACCTCCCCACTAACCGAACTGCTGCATTCGAGAAACGAAGGTAACTAACCGCAAAGCGTTATCTATCTTCCCACTCTTTAATCCAAGAGTTCCGCCATAAATATGTTTTTTTTTCTTAAGGTGTTGCCACCTATGCGGCAGCGGTGTTGTTCAGAATGAGCGAAGACAAGCCGCAAGACTACAAAAAGAGACTGTCCATGGAGCTGACCAACTCCTTGTTCCGCGAAGAGAACCTCTGGAACCCCGATCTTGGAATCGGTTCCGAACTACAGGTACGTTAATGTTTTTAACTGTTTATTTGCAAATCATGTGTGGTTTAAAGTAGCTTTAATTGTAATACAGTGTTAAGGTATGTATATGTAGAATGTTATACATAAGAAGATTCTTTAGGCAATTGTTTCTTATAGAATCTTCCACACCCTGTCTGTCGATTTTTTTTGCACATTATCCTTTGGTTGTCGATTTTTTTTTGGTTTGCATTTTTTCACTGATTATTTTAGGAAATTTTGAGTCCTGAGCACTACGATAACCTGTATCCACAAGATCCCCCAAGTGTACACAGCAGCCATGGCAGTAGACCATACCAACAGCAAGGTAAATATCAAAAAATACTTAGGAATAAAAAATACTAATTACTAAAAATTTATTTAATAAAACAAGTTTTCCAAACATTTATAAATAAGATGGAAATGTAAAATTAGAACTAAAGGTTTTGATTTCATAGCAAAATTGACTATAAATGTTTTTTAAACTACTAAATTTTATTGCACTGGATTTTCTATTGTAATAATAATTATTCAGTATAATAAAAAATTAATAAACTAAAGAGATAAAAAAACATAAAACTAAATAACAATAAATTAAAACCGACTGATCAGAATAATAAATAAATGCATTATATTTTTATTCCATTCAGAAAAGTAGAATTCTTCTGTCGAAGCTAACCCAATAACAGGTGACTGTTTGTGATTTTTAGATTTTTTGAATTTTTTTATTATTTTTTTTGTAGTATGTGTTTGAGCATGTACTGTTTTTTATTTTTGTAGATATGTAGATAAAATAAAACGTTTAGGTTTTAAGATATTTTAAAACAAATCTACTGTTTTGGCTTTAATAACACTGGTCAACAGCCATTTTGTGCCACAGGGTCACCAACAACTTTTCTAGGGTAATTTGAGTGCCCTGATTCAAAAAATATCCATAATTTTTTTCAAAAAATACACATTTAAATTCGTAAATATGTTTTTTATCAAATACTTTAAAAAAGGATTGTTGGTCATGACAGTATAGCCAATTTTTTTTTATTTATTCATTTAATTGTTCTCTAGTACTGCCAAACCATTTTAATTTTATATTCCACATTGCTCTTTTTAACCATTCCAGTAAGTCTTCATAATATTTATTTCTATTAAATACTATTTCTTCAACATTTTTATCCTTATACAAAAATTTGGACTTTCCTGATAAAAAAAAAATTAAACACATTTATAAAGTTGGTCCCTTAAAAAAACCTTTTTTTACAAAATGTGGCTTTATTTATCTAATTTATTAAGTTAAGATTTTAACGTAACCAAATAAAATTTCTCAAAAAAACCGCGTATAATACAATAAAGTAGATAAATAAAGCTAAAAAATTGTCGAATTTTTGCCAAAAAAGAAATTTATTTCGGTTTTTTAAGGGTCTTACTATATGAATGTGGATAATTTATTTTTTAAATAAATAAAGGGTCAGTCCATGTCAACTCAACACACCCATTTTACCACACCACCTCAGATTTTCTTAAAATTTGGTATACTTATACTATGTACTAAGACTAAGAAAAATACCAATTTTTAAATTTTTATCTCACACCGTTTCCGATGTAAAGTTTTTAAAAACTCGCGAAAAAAGTGTGAACGTGTATTTTTTAAATTGCTCTGGAAGCTGTCCTAATTCAGCTAGAAAGCTGGGAGAGGTGTCATTTTGCAGCATTTTAAATGCTCTTTCAAATGACATACGAACGCCAAGGGTATTAATGAAAAGATTTTGTTCAAAATCCATATATATATTTTGATTCAATTTTTTTTCAAAAAGTACATAATTTAAAATTCTCAAAATATTTGTATAAATACTTAGTACTGTTTAAAACCATATAGTAAAATATAAATGTGGGGTCTTAATGGGTTCATGTTAAAAAAAAATAATTTGTTTTTTTCATTGGATTATAACACTGCACTCTTACAATAGTAGGCTCCATGTTGACACCAAAATCACTTTAAACACACCTCATTTAGTTTTATTTTTAAATAAACTACGAATATATACAGGGTCCGATAAAAGTTCCCTGAATTTTTTTTTAAATTTATCAATAAGGTTTTCGCGGAAATTGTTTGCTCGAGCAGGTTCCTAGAACCATTTCATTTCTGAAAATATTCATTTTATGTTGTTCTGTTTAAAATTTAGTCCAATATGAATCGCCAAAAAAAGCGTATCACAGTAATTGAATTAAAAAAGTCGGGAATGTAGGCAGTCGATATTATTAGGGTTCTTAGAACCCTTATATTTTTGAAAATATTCATTTTATGTTGTTTTGTTTAAAATTTAGTTTAATATGAATCGCCAAAACAAGCGTATCACAGTAATTAAATTACACAAGTCGGGAATGATGACAGCCGATATTATAAAAAAAATACAATTTTCAGGCTTAAGCCTGATAAACGTTGAATAATGTCAAAATTAGTTTAAAAGTGAAAAACCAGCATCAGAAATATTTTTTTTAACAATGAGCCCATTAAGACCCCACATTAATATTTTATTATATGATTCAGAACACTACCAAGTATTTATACAAATATTTTGAGAATTTTAAATTATGTACTTTAAAAAAAATTTTTTTATCAAAATATATATATGGATTTTGAACAAAATCTTTTCATTAATACCCTTGGCAGTCGTATGTCATTTGAAAGAGCATTTAAAATGCTGCAAAATGACACCTCTCCCAGCTTTCTAACTAAATTAGGACAGCTTCCAGCGCAATTTAAAAAATAAACGTTCACACTTTTTTCGCGAGTTTTTAAAAACTTTACATAGCCATATATCGGAAACGGTGTGAGATAAAAATTTAAAAATTGGTATTTTTCTTGGTCTTAGTACATAGTACAAGTATACCAAATTTTAGGAAAATCTGAAATGGTGAGGAAAAATTTCTTTTTAAAGTGTGTTGATTTGGCATGGAATGGCTCTAAATTAGGACTCATAGCTACATGACCAATGATCCTTGGTTAAAGTATTTGAAAATATATGTATATACTAATTTGAATATTTGCATATCTCAAAAACAAATGAAAAATGATTTTGAATTGTTCTGTGGCAAACAAAAAAATTAATTAGTCGTCAAGTGTAATATAATAAAATTATGCATTCCTAAAATAAAAATTACTACCAAGGAGTATTTTTTAAGATTGTTTTTTAAAAATAAATGCGAGTGGATATCCTATGGCAATTGAGGAATGATTAGCTTAAATATTTAGTAATTTACAAAGATTTACACATATCACGAGAACCTGATATATCAGTCATTAATTAGCAAGTATAGGTTTTTAATATCTTTATTTTGTAAAGTTTGCAATGTTTTAACATTTTTTTTTAAGTTGACATCCAAATCAAAATGTATATTTTGAGGGCTGTTTACAGCAGAAGCCTGTTATTTTTAAAACAGGGATTTTCAAAGATCTAAAAACCATTCTAATCTTTCATAAATAACATTATTCTACTTTTCACTCACATTGCACAAAAAAAAATTAAGTTGTGTTTTTAGGGCGAAATATACAAAATTTATCAGTTTTTTATTTTTAAAGGTCTTTTAAAGTGGGAAAAATTACCGAAACATGGCGAAACTTGCAGTAAATATTTTCGTTTTAATAATTTTTTTTACATATTTTATGTATGTTATTTTTATTATTTTAGAATAAAAGTAACCTTAAACTTGCAAAAACATAATTCAATCACAATTTTATATAATACAGGGTGTCAAAAAAATGCGTATCCAAAAAATTACAAAAAAATCTTTCGGTGTATTTTATAAGCCGTATAAAAGGCATCTACAGCGAACTTTATATCATCATACCTTGTTATTATTCACAAATTTATTTTTGAAAATTATGTTAATTCTTTCTTAAAAACTTAATTAAAGAAAAAAACCCTTGTAATCCAAAACTTATTTGTAAAAAAAATATTTTTTTTACTTACAATACCCCCTCTCCCTGCAACGTGCAACGGACACACTGTATTATTCAAATTAGTTTATTAAAATTATGTTTTTGTAAGTTTAAGGTAACTTTTATTCTGAATTGTTAAAAATAACCTGCATACTTGGTATTTTTGGACAGTTTCGCCATGTTTCAGACATTTTTTCACACTTAGTATAACGTTAAAGAACAAAAAACTTATAATTTTTATATAGTTTGGTCGAGAGTTTGGTCTAAAACACCCTTTAAACTTATTTTTGTTGAAATTTAGGTGAAAAAAATCTGAACTAGCTTGATTTTGGATATGTTGTGGTCCAAAGGTTAAAATGTCCAATTTCCGTGTTCCACAATTGGGTGCTTCCCCCCTTTTTTATGTTTTAATCGTTTAATTTCGTTTCCTATTGGTCGTACAAAAAAGTGCTAAAACAAAAAATGCAGAGCTTTAAATTTTTAACATAAGTAAAACGTTCTGTAGGTATTTAGTTAAAAAAAAGTGGGCGCAATAATTTTTTATATTGACATAAGCATTTTTTATTTTAAATCTCCCACTTTTATATTTAGCGTTTTTTTTATAAAAAAAAACATTATGTAACCATCGTCACAACATAATTAGAAAATGTTAAAATTTGGTTTCACTAAATAAAATCGCATGCAAAATAACTAAAATTCAGAAAATTCCTGTCAAGGAGGTTGTGAATAAATGTGCAATCTGCCATATAAGGTAGCCGCCATATTGGATTATTTTGTTGTTGTAATTTTTATTACTGAAATACAACATTGCATGACAAAATCATTTCAAAAACATTGCTTATACCGAAAAATACTCTGATAAAGCAGTAGGATTGTTTTTAAGTGTTCTGTATGAAATTTTGCCCGATATTTTCTCTATACAACGTTCTTACATAAACAAAAATGGTTTTAAGGGTATGACCAGATACCAATAGACATGCAAGGTTTGGAGATCGGTTCCCACGGAGGCGGCAACGGCTCCACCTACAGTGCAATAGATGCGATGGAAGTCACCAGCGGTGAACCGGATCTCAACTTTGACGGTATCGATCAGTTGCCTACCCCGCCACAAGACAACAATCAAGTGGCCGCGTGGTACGACACTGACTTGTAAATTCGCCACAAGCAACACTCGACAACACTGCCTCATTTCATAACACACGTGTGTACACACACATACAACTTTGGTGGTGTTTTGAAATATGGTAGGTGACAGTCGGCGTTCTATTTAGGGACTTTTTTGGTGTCTTTTTAACTTAATCGCCGTGGAAAATGTTGCCGACGTGTCTCTGAAGTTTTACTTTGTGCTTCATATACTTAATTTTTATATGATTGTCACTGGTTAATTAATTGACTTGGCAGCTTTTTCGGCCATAAAGCTTAAGAGAAACTGTCACGTTTTCCATGAGCGTTAATTTTTAAGTTTTAATTTATAATTTTTGCATTTACTTTACATCAATTTATAAGTATATGTAGTAATTACATAAAGCAGCCATTGAATCATGTTTATTATATTCAGAATTAAGCAGTATTTATAGTATGTAATCATAGACTATAGTGATGTTCTGTTATATTTTTTATTAATTGTCGATTTTTTTGTATTCTATGTATTTTTCTGTTACATTGTCGCCGCACAATCTTACAATTTATTGGAGCCTTTATTTATCGTATAATTTCTATAAAATTCGTTATTCAAACAGGGTAGTTTTTTAAGGCACTGCCTTTTTAACCAAATGCATGGAGTATTTATAGGAAACAATAAAAAATCTAATTGTATTTATTTGTTTTATTTTTCATACCTATATGACATGTGTTGTAAATGAGGGAACGTTCTTGTGTACTCGTAGAACGTTCTCGGCAAAATGCAAAAAGGTAAAATGCGATAAAAATGGCAACATTGCGACCCGCTGCATTACTTGCGTCTGTCTATATGAATTTGTATTATTAATTAATTAATAAAAAGGTAAAAAAACTTCAAAAGTATAAGATTTCTAAAAAATTTATAACATTTGTAATATTTCTAAAAAAGCTACAGCCACTTGTAAACCTGGGAGTAAATGGATAAACATTTTTAAATAATTTTATAATTTGTTATTTTACTTAATTAATTAATCATTAATAAAAATTTATATAAACAAAATTAATTTCTCAAAAACCATGTGGAAAATGAACTTGAAATTATGTTGAAAACGGTCCAGAACCTCATTAGACCATTTAAATTTAATTTGTGTGGCTTAAGAGGACTGATTTTTGTTCCTTTTTTATAATTATAAAGTTAACTTTTGAGGATAAGGATGGGTATTTCGCTTATCTTTAGGAAAAGTTGCACATTTTCATGCAAATCAATTATCTAAAAAGAAATTTGAAATCATTTTTAGTTTTCGAGATATCGTAGAAAACAAGTCGAACAAATATGAGACCTTAAAGACAGATTTCAAAAGAAAATAACTTTGGTTGCAGAACCACCTGTTTCACGTTAAACGGGTTGACACAGATGCCTGCATATTTTATTTAAAATATATGTTTGTTCATTTGTTTGTCCCAAATGTATGTTTGCGTATGTTTCTTGAGCTGTGCCTGTACGACCCCTGAAACTCATAAACTGGAACCAAAATACCCAATAAAGTAACTCAAAAAATGGGGGGCGATGCCCCATGACTCCCCCCGCCCCGATAATATGTCAATATCGGGTCAAAATTTATTAATCCAAGTGGGATAACACAAATTGTAAATGTTAAGTGCCACTTAAGGGGACATAGCTTCCTTATAAAGCATTTTAACCTCGTGTTCTTGGGAACTATTTTTCATATTTTGCTTTGTAGAATAATTCCTAAAATGTATGGTTTAAAAAAGGGTGCCAGATTACTGAAGTCCCCAAAGCAAAAATCAATATTCTTATACTAATTTAATTTTAAAATCAGAAGATTGTAAAATCTTCGAAAATATAGTTTATGTAAGAGACGCTAGTAAGTAAGTGGAAATCCATTAATTACGTGAGATAAAAATGGGGGGAGGAGTCCAGCAAAATCAGAGATATCTCTGGCAAAATCTTACCCAATCTCATTTTTAGGAAAGGGGGGTCATTGAAAATCTCACGTCAACTTTTGAGTTTAAAGAAGATTTATTATATTTCAATTTTGTTAAAAAAAATAATCAATTTTTTTTTACTTTTTTTGGGTTTATCATGTTGTCCGCAAGGAAAGTTTTATGGCTTGAATCTCACGTCAGGGATAGGGGGGTCTACCACATCCAAATTATCAGAAAAATACCTCACGTAATTAATGGATGTCCCATAAGCACAAAACAGTCGGCCACCGCTCCGCATAGGATAATGACCGACGGTACGGCTTGCTCCCAGCCGGCCCGCGGTATGTTACCCGGTACCGTTTGGCCATTTTCGGCCGATACCTTAAAGAGAAAGTTTATGAAAATAGACCACGAACTCTTCTGCAATTGAATCACAACATCCGCACTGAAATGGCCGCTGTTTACAGAGATATGTGTAGAGGCGCAATAGTGAATTTCCGTTTTCGGTTATAACCTCTATAGAGGAATGCCAGCAGCGAAAGGGTCAACATTTGGACAACAAAATCTTTAACACTTAATTTTCCAAAACTTTGTCTAAAAATAAAAAAAAATATTTTTTTCTGACTTTTTTATTGAACTTACAAATACCCCCTACCCTTTGTGGACAATGGTAATTTATGTCATTAGGCCAAGAAGTAATAAAATATCAAATAAAATGCCTTTAAATTATTTGCTCACCCTTGGTGAGATTTGGTGAGATGTTGTAGACCCCCCCTTTCACTCACCTGAGATTCTAGCCATTAAACTTTCTTTGCGAACAACATGATAAACCAAAAAAATAAAAATTGATTACTTTTTTTGACAAATTTGAATTAGGTATACTATATATTCTTTTAACCCAAAAGTTGATGTGAGATTTTTAATGACCCCCCCCCCAAAGATATTTTCTTTGCCCCCCCTCCTTAACATGAGATTTACGTAATTAATGGATGTCCCCTAAGGAATAACAATAATAACAGATTTCTGGTAATATATATATTATAAACACTCTAGACAGTTGTTAGGAATTTGAACTTGTTGATGCGTATTGTCAGTGGGAAATATTTTGATTGCCTGCCTAGGCTGAAATCACTTTTTCAACGAAATAATTTGTTAAACATTAACAAAATAATCTGTAACCTTTGAAATTAACAAAATACTTACAAACTTGCATATTACCCAGCAAGCACAAACATCCTCAGGACGTCCTTGGACCAGCCTAAATGTCCCAGAATGGGATGATCCTATAAGGACTTCCTGAGGACGTCCATAGGTTGACCTTATCGGACATTAGATCTTTTTTAGGTCCCATTTTGGGATATCCTAGGAACGTCATTTAAGGATGTCGTTAGGACCTAATAATATCCTAATTAAAGCCTAAAATGGGCTGATCATAGGACTAATCCCAGAGACATCCTCAGAATGTCCTGTTAGGTTTTGGTAAACATTTGGTATGCACATTTTTCTATAAGAATATTTTATCCATATAATTAATAATACCTACATTTTTTTACATAACTTATTTTGCATAGGCACATCTTAAAAATGTCAATCAATATAATTATTATATTATATTATATAGATTTTTTTAAGTTTATAAACGACTTGCATACTATATTTTTTCTACGACAATCACAAAATTTAAATAACTTTCAACAATTATATATAAATAATCATTTATAAAATCTGACATCGACCAGTCTATTCTAACCTCACTTTTTAAACCCTTTATTTTGATGGTCATTGTTTCGCAATTAACCTCAACCCATGACTAAAAAGTCCGAATGCCATTGCTGCCAACTTCAACCCGTGACTAAAACGTCATAAAGCCACAACTTGTCAATGTGTATTTAAAATATCATGGAAACATGTACGATAATCGGCGTTTTAAAGGCGAGAGTTTAAAAACAATATTATATTTTGTGTATTTGTTATAATATCCAGTTGTATACAAAATATATTTTGTGGTCATATTATGACCACAAAATATATTTTGTATACAATTGGATAGCAGCCAACTTAATACGCATGCGCAGAAATGACGGCTGGTAATTAATAATTGATCAAACACCTTGTTTGTAAGGTACGCGCGTATTGATACATTTTGAGTTTTATAAATAATAAATAAGGTAGTAAGCGTCAGTTAACCTTAAAAATGTAATTACAAACGCAATCTATAACTTATTTAATAGTTTGTGTTACCGATTGTTTTAAATTTGCCGCCTTACGTTATGGTGGTAACCATTGTCTATGGTGGTAACCAAAGATGGTGGTAACACTGGATGGAGAGAAAGCTAAGATCAAAGATGGCTAAGATGACGTATAGCGTCCTTTAGTTGTTTGTCGCCTTTTTGTTAGAAAGAATCATAGATAACACTGTGAAAGGAATTCTTTGTCTGTGCCGTGAATTCTTTTTCTGTGTCGTGAACCTGGTTTAAGGCCGTGAATCTCGTGTTCTCCAAGTGTGTTTGTTAGAATATAATATTATTATAGTGTTCTCTTCGAAATAAACCTTAAATACTAATTTGCTTGAAGAATCTTCAAGCAAATTAGTATTTAAGGTTTATTTCGAAGAGAACACTATAATAATATTATATTCTAACAAACACACTTGGAGAACACGAGATTCACGGCCTTAAACCAGGTTCACGACACAGAAAAAGAAGTGAACAACAACCATAAAATTCTGGTGAGTTATAATAAGCATACTTGTTAAAAAATAAAAAAAATCGTATTTAATTTGTTTCAAAATTTTCAGAAGAAAAAATGCCACTAATTTGCCAATTTAACCGACTTTGTAGCTGCAATAATAATGGAGTTAAAATGGTGAGCAGATAACTTTGGACACTGTGATACATTAATAATATAACTATTATAATATATATATTTATTTAGAATTATTATTTATTTTATATAATTGGCTGTGTAAAATTATATATATGTATACAGAATTAAAATAATATATTTTATAAAGTAATAAAATGATATTTGATTGATAAAATGTATCCCCAACAAATAATAAGGCCATTCAGAGGATGTCCTCAGGAC